TGAAATGGACCCCCCAAGCAGCAAGTGACGACAGCCAGGCCCTGGTCTCATGCAGGGAAAAACAATTGTTCACTAAGTTGGGGTCACAGTCCTGGTAAACAAAAGTGAATGTCTTCCTAAGCCAAGACGATATAATATTTAATCAAGATCTCCAAATCAACAATTGACTTGCATGAGATAAAAAGACAGCGGCAACTACGTCTGATGTGGAGAGTATGCTGGATATACCATCTCAGAGCTCGAATAGGTCATAGGAATCTAGTTCTATCTGATCTAGAGGCAGAGGCAGGGAATACTTGTATCTGGTCTACTCTGTGGCCGAGAGACCGCTAGCAGAAGCCTGATTCTTGGCAAGAAAAAGCTGGTAAAGTTCTACATGAGAGCCATCGATATCCTCCTGTAAAGGTGATTGACTAAAGTCTATGGCAAAAAAATCTGATATTCTGGAACTGGAAGCTGTTTCAATGACAAGTAGAAAACCCACCTTTTAAGGAGAAGAAATGTCAATGAAATTTCCTGCATAGGTTTGGAAGACTTCTGGAGAGACTACAGAATCAGACATAAAGCCAACTTGGGGAAGATTGTAGGATTAGGTGCTGATAAAAAAAAAAATCTTAACCGGAAAGATCTAATCAGCTTGTAGAGCAAGCTGTTAAAACCACTGCTAGTCCGTGTATATCTCAAACAGAAGCAATTGCTGATCTGTAGCCCACCATAGTACTGTGTTTCAGTGTCTTAACATCACGAAGATAAAGTAGAAATCTGCTAAGAAATCGTTGAGATAGCCCTGAATCTGAATACCCCTCAACATAAAAAATGGAGCATCGATATCGAGATTGGTGAAACAATGTCCTCATTGGATTGTTCTGGAAGATTCTTAACTCCAGTCAAGAGGTGAGATAGTTCTATAGCTGCCAAATGGTCTAACCCAATCACTTAAGGGTGATTGGCATCGGAAAAATGCCTGAAAAACGACGTCCAAAGAGGAAGGGGCACGCATCCATCGTGGGCTGACATGGCCACCATGGTATCGTGATTCATTGCCACATAATCCTCAAAACCTGGGTGAGGAAGCTACCCAATTCCCAAGACAAGGCAACCGCCGTATGGATATCGATCTAGTATGCATGGTCTAAAACCTAAAACTCCCTAGGACTAGGAGTAACGTGATTTGTGAACGAAAGTTTGGGATAATTTCAAGCAGGTGTGAGAAATCCCTATCAACTTTGAAGCACTGGCGGGGAAAACACAACCCCATCCTATCAAGTAGTAGACAAAGAATAGGCTCAGATGATGAAAAAATATATACATTTGTATCCATTTGTACCAGGCCAAGTGGAACAGATTGTTCAGTGGAGATGAGAGCGACAACTCCCTGACTCAAAGTTTGTCGTAGGCATAAAAAATTAGGAGTCATAATGACTCTCTAGTGTCATATGAGAAGGAGTCATTGACATGTTTTGTGAGTCAACGTCAGGTTGGAACTTCCATGAAGACATCAAATGTTGATTGTTTAATAACGACAAACAAAACTAAGTAAGACAGTTCAGGTATAGAAGGAGCTCCGAGCAGTCATCGCATAGAAACCAAGTTAGCAAGTAGCAATGTAACTGGTTAAGAGGAAAGTAGTAGACGAAGTAATAAGCTCCGATGACGAAAATCTATAGGTACCTTATACAATGCCAAGCATAACAGATTGTCGAGTGGAGACGAGATCGACAACACCCATTTCCATTCTGTGTCTGTGGAATCCACAGGAATAAGGCAACAATAATCCAGAGGGAATGTTTAAGCCTATAATTTTATCTCAATGGGCTAGAACTAGAAAAAAAACAGCACTTATCTGGACTTTTAATTCAGTGCAAACAAATATGCACTCACACACACGTCATCATAAAAATCCAATAATCTTGAACATGATACTAAACCCCATTCCTTTAATCACACCTTCCTCTTTCTCTCAACTGACAAAGATACTACAAATGCAAAAATCTTGAACTTGATGCTAAACCCCATTTTACCTGACCATACCCTCACTCATACACACACATAATATGATGTTTAAATCTAATCCATAGTTTACTTGAAATATGTGTGTATAAAACTGTTAACTTATATACATTTCTGCCTGACAGTAACTGCTGCTGACAGAACAACATCCATATAAGTTTTCATACAGATTCTACAGTAAATACAAACACCACCTAATTATCTCATAGACTTTATTATACAACTTCAAAATGACAAAATGGAGACACACATATGAAAGTAGCAGTACATGTGGTCAAAGCTAGGCTTGTGATCAGCAATGAGTGTTGTAGTGCAGCCAGCTTGTGCAGTCCTCTCTCAAGCCATGGCAGAATCAAACTGTGTCCCATACTAATAGCAATAGTGACTCAATTAATTATTTTCTCTACCACTACCTCTTACAAATTTTGCTTTCAAATTGTCATTGTGATCTGTCAGTCATGAAAATGTCCCTATCCATCATAGTTTCAGTCCCATAAAGACTAAATCATGTTAAAAATCTTAAGGTTACAAAGAAACCATTCTTTTGACCCCATGATTTTGACAGGGATCACAATTTTTTACACTGACAAAAAAAGCTGCCCATCCATAACATTTTCGTAATTTATGGTACAATTGGGCTGCCATGATGCAACACAGTTGAATTTGTTCACAACAATAATCAATAAACACTCAAATCTGTGACCAGAGAGGGTTGCACTTGCACTGCAGTTGTGATTGGTGGAGGATATATCAGCTAGGAACAGTACATTAGGCCCTTTTATCGCCTGGCCTCAGGATCAGTAGACCATGAGAAATTAAATGAGATGAAAGTGTGTTTTTTTATACTACCAACAGTAAAGATCAACCACCTTTTTATCACCTACCAATCCAAATTAAACTTGAAGATGATTAAAACATTTTTTCGTATTATCCTTTCTATTCGTGTATCAAAATACATCATATAAAAGGAAAGAAAAAGTTAAATATACAGACAGCTGTCCATATATGGGTTCCACAAGCTTTCAGTTAAAACCATCTTTTGAGTAAACAAATCATCTTTTCTTTGAAAAACAGCATGATTTGGTATGGAAACCCCTTATGTTTAAAATGATACACTGACATTATTGCCAAACAATACTATACACATTTCCTAAACATTAAAAGATTTTCTGAAAAAGACGAAGAATATATGTAATAATTTTCTGAAAAATAAAAAGGATTAAAACTTTATCTCGTCCTAAGCAATTAATGCCAGTACTGTTTCTAGCTACATTTGGCACTATATGCTGACAAGAAGCATTGGTATAATACACAAAAAAAGCCATAGCAATCACTTTCAGAATTTCATAATATCACAGACACTAAGGCCCTGACAACAGAACCTTTACCATAACCTAACAAGTCAATGAGCAAATGCCTGCCCAACCTATGTCCAAATGTCCCAACTCTTGTACTAAGGACCTCTCTACCAGGGCAGTCAATGTAAAGTGATCGCATTACTCAGCAACCTCACGTGTATTTCATCATACATGAACTCTTATGATGCTGTATTCAGTGTAAAGGTCATAAAATATAAAATTGCACTATGGAATGCTTCTTGTGTCTATGCATTGCCGTATGGAGTTTTAAAAAGTTACATGACAAAGCTAAGTGTTTTAGCTTGATGAACAACTAGCATCACAAGTTAGCAAGCAAATTAAGCATCATAATAAAATGAAAGTTAATAATGATTAGAAATCACATCATGTAAGATCATATGCATCGGTGAACATAATACAGTCCAAGGGAGACCACTCTAGCTTCGCCAGCACAATAAGAAAATCATCACAAAAATATTACATATTGAACTTGTCTGTTTAAAATGAAAAAGCTTCCATGTTCTATATTCATAGTTGATCTATTTTCACTCACCCAAAGCATGTACTTCCATAGAAGTTCAGATCTCTGAACAGCTAAAATAGCTGGTGAAAATATTCCATTCTACACAACCTACAATTCCCTTATTCCTTGAACATGAGAAATAAACTAGGGTTATAGTACCCTGCTGTAAAATAATGTCAATGAACTTAACATGAAAATAACAATTATCATGCAAATTAATATGTAGAATATATTACACACGAAAAAAATAAATGAATCAAGAAAAAATACGTACATATGCATAATCTGCATAATGCTGAAGCAATTTGAAAATGATCAATATTGTCACCATAGTGACTTGTAAAATAGGATTATAAGAAGAAAAAACAGGGAAAGAAATCTTTTTCCAGCTACCAGTATATTTTCTCCAATGTTTATCTTGAGCTGTCACTTTCATTTTGCTGTAGCCAAATCAGTGTCCAAATTGGATTCATAAATAATCTTGTTACAATATGCAGAGGCAAATTTACATGAAACATACACTAAAAATCAAGACCTAATGAAAAATAACTTGTCTCTTGACATTCACTGATTCAGTTATATCAAAATTTAATTGCAAACATTTGGCTATAGTCATTAAATGAGAACTTTTACTCTAACACAATACTATCTACTGGCAACACTCTACAAGAAGTTGCTTCGGGTAAACTTGAACAATTCAAAATGAACAAGCTAATCAGATGGCAGCTTTCAAAAACAATCTGGTTTCTTTTCTCTTCCATCTCAGTTCCTTCAATTGTGCACATAGATGCCACTGACCAAAGAGCAACAGTTCACAACCATACAATTGTGCATCCTTCTCTCCATTTAATAATTCCTTGCCTGCTTTCGATTCTGAGCCAGAAATTGAATACCAGAAACCTGTACCATGTACATTCCTAGATGCTGTTGAGCTGATTAGAACATCCACATGATGTGAACAGTGGAATCTTTGCCATGTATGGAAGCATTGCATTAAGAGTGAAAGATCTCATTTTAACGACTGACAATTTGGTTCCCACTTTAGTCGTGTAAACATCTGTGTTTACCTAGTCAAAACACTACCTTGACATCAGTTTCAGTAGGTCTTATATAAATGTATGGACTCTATTAGCCAAACTTACAAGACTGAAAGACATCTTACTACAGTAGGGCTACAGACTAGTGGCTGAGTCCCACACTGCCACTAAACTGTATGCATCATAGATAAAAATGACAGCCAAGAAACTTTTCAATCACCATAGTCATCAACCATAGCAGGCTGTATAGGACCAGCTAGGAATTGTGGCCTACCTTTCGTTGTGTGAACACTATGTGAACACTGATGTGAACACCAATGTGAACACTGAGATGAGCAGTAGAAAAACATATTGGTGAACAGTGCAATGTTACGTATGACACACTGAACACTGGGACAAACTCTAGAGGTTTTTAGCCCTCCGATATTCCTATGTACTGGTAAACACTGGATGGCAAGACCTATCTGGATCCCAGTCAGGAGTAGGTGGCACAGTCTAAATGTTGGCAGGGATTAGACATGCACTGCCACAGTAATACATGTGGTTGGTAACTCTATACACATGCCAAGGCAACCACCTGCCAAAACTATGGGAATCTGCCCTTGAATGTATATCCATATTTCACAAATGTTTTCCAGTGCATTTTCAACATACAGGTGTCTACCAGTTGTAGTACTTAACAATTACAACCAATCAGTCCTCCAGAAGGATGTAAACTGCTTAGTTGTAATTTCTTAACAAACTTCCTTATAAAATAACCTACTATAAATTACATGTATACAAGAAAATCAACTGTTCAAAGTTGCCAGTTACTGGAACCATAATGGTGGAATCATTAATTTTAAAGTACAGGAGATGTGCTGTCGGTGTAATATATCCCTTCAGAGTGCGTAATAACAATAACAATATATACATAAGACAGGTAGCACTTCTCACAAGATCCACAGTTCAAACATGTCAAATGATCAATTAATATGACAAGAAAATCCATCTTTGCACTGTCTTAAGACATCAGGAGCTCAGAGGTGGATCCAGGATTTTAAAACAGAGGGGGGCACCGAATACCCAAGTCACAAACTAACTTGGTCGATGGTCCAGTCGACATGGAAAGTGTCTTAAAAAAGGAGGGGGTGTGCACCACCCACACACCACCCTGGATCCGCCAGTGAGCAACACAATGACCCAAAGGAACTTGCTTGCCCTTGCGCTGTTTCCTTTCTCCTTGACAATAAGCACAGTGAAGCTGTTTGTTTTGCTTCTAAAGTACAACAGTGGCAAACATAATGTAAGATGGCCGTGGATCATTCTCTAGACTACATCACCCTCTCTCAAATCACACTTGTCTACCCAGTCATCATCGCCACTACAGTCTGATGGAAACCTTGAGGAGGAGTTTGTTTGGGACCGCGCTGAAGCCATGATGGACCTCCTCTCGTGGTGCTGTGCGTCGACTTCGCTTCACCACTGAAACAATGACATGAATATATATAAAAATACCATCAAAACAATTGTATTGCTGTAGTTCTGTGCATACAAGAACTACCATACATAACTAGAATCTGAAATAAATGGTCAAGCGAGTCCCATTGACATGCCAGTTGTAAGAGCTGACTAAATGGGATATGTCGGACACTAACAATTTTTAACTTTATCTTTGTTTGTTATCTCCTTTATATTTCATGATTTCCGTGTCCATCACTCTGGACATTGTGTGCCTTAACTTTGAAACAGTAATCAACACAGTAATCACATACTTTGACAGGGATGTGTTATGCAATCTCAATTTAAGTCTTCTTATAAGGCCTACTGTGTTAATACCTTTTTGTATGAGAATATTGTCATTGTTTCTCTATATATCCGAGAATTATTGCTTATACAATTAGGAGATAAACGTCATGTGTTGGCCAATTTCCGGGTATTATTTGTAGCACAGGAATTCATTTGGAACTGACGGCGTTAGCTGGAGGTTTCAAATGAAAAACAGTCGTGCCCCGTTTATCCGAACCTCAGATATCCGGAAAACTCGCCTTCAGAACAAAAATTCCTCAAAACAAATTCACAATGTTGTAAAATTACTCATTTACCCGGAAATCCGGTTTCCGTAACTGTACGGCCATTTTCACATACAAAACGCTAAATTATATGCATTTTTTTCTCGTATATCCGGATGGCTGAGCACATGTCAGTATGTTATATAGAGAGTTTATTCCGATAAATGGGCCACCGGCCCATTATACAAGTAAATTAGTGCTACAATATGTTGACAAAGCGCCACGTCATTCACATATACAGGTGTTATGTTTAAGGCAATATTGCAATGGACATTGATAACATCAACATGATGAAAAATATTTGTTTCGTTTCTTCCGAGCTAAAATAATATATTTAGCAAGATTGTTTATAATAATTTAAATAAATAGAGGATATTATATGAGTGTCCATGTCATACTATGTTTACGACACGAGTGCCTGAATGTTGGTATTTCCCGAGTGAGAGCGAGGGATAAACCGATATTTAGGCAGGAGTGTCGTAAACATAGTATGATATGGGCACTCATATAATATTCTGTTTATTAATGAAGTCGTCAAATTGTGGAAAATAAACCCAAATCTACTTTCAAACATAGGCTGGTCGCCTGCCGTCGCCGCATGTAGAACGCAACGTCACAGAAGAGACGTGACGTCATAGCCTTGTTCATGACGTCATGTCACCATGACAAAGTGATATTTTGCCCTAGGGCATCGTATGGAAAATATGAACCGCGATATGTTCACCCTCGTAGGTAATAACATTGTTTTTTTATGTGAATAATAACATAAGCTTATTGCAAGATGGAAAGACATAATAAAATTCTTGCAAGAGATATGATCGCAGGTCAGACATTCAAGACAGAAGTGTATTTCAGATTCAATAGTAGGCCTAACACACAATGGGCAGAGATGATCTTTGCGGTCAAGTTTGAGACGTCTTCCACACCCAATCATTAGGTCATGGTTGGAGCAGTGGAACTTACACAATGCAATACAGTAAGCTTTTACTTTGACAACACTAAACTAATATTCTTCAGAAAGATGAACCTTAATTTGTCTGTACATCTCAACTTTGGAATATTTACGAAGGTCTGAAACCCAATTTTGAACATCAATGTCAATACATATCTGTTTAAATTCAATTAGAAACTGCTCCACGTTGACAACACGCTGGTCCATCCACACCTGTCCAAAACCATAAGTGAACACACGCATTTTACCGAGTGGCCTTGCGTGCCCTAACATAAAAGAAGTTGGCAGTCTTTGAAGCGTAAGAGGATTAACTACCTGTAATTAGCAAGGTGACACTGAGTTCATTTTTAGTTGTGATTGGCAAGCCTAGACGTCACCATTGTTTTGTTAGTGACTTTAATCCGGAAGTTTATGTTAGGTACAGGAACAATGCCAGGGGTGGAAATAACCCATTGCCCGACGTCCAAGTCCAGTGTTTTTTTTCTGTCGGGCAAGCAAATTTGTATATCACACTGTACCGGTGTCAAATGGACTTTCCAATGTTAATCATGTTGTTTATTAAAAAAATCAACAAGAAAACAGCCGGTCTAGTGGAAAAATTATCAGGGCAAGTGATTTTACATGTGCCACTGTACCAGAGTACACTAGCAATTTCAACGTTATTTCCACCCCTGAATGCGAATTTGTGGATGACATCAGAACTGTTTTGTGACTGGTTGCTAACATTTGACAGATAGATGCATGTACAGGTATGTTCGCACATGTTACTGACTTGACTACTCCATTTGACAAGATGTGATTTTATGTATGGATTGTTATTTGTTGATGTCTTATCAATAAAGGTTTCGTCTGAGGTCTATTATGTTCGTTTCTTTGTATGTCTTTTTACATATGGTTCGTGGTTCAGATATCCGGAAATTCCTTTATCCAGAAAAACGCAAGATAAACAGGGAACGACTGTATTCCCATGCTTCAAATACTCAATAACACCCGGAAATTGGCCAACACATGATGTTTATCGACATTGTCAACACAAAAGTAAACCAAAAGGCCCACATGGGTTTTACTGTCAGCACTCATTAACATCGGTACGGATACAGCAGAGAAGTGTGATCAGCTGACCATTTCAGCTGGTTCCCATGGTAGCATCTGGAACTGCTCATTTGTGACATCATTCCAACTTTACGGCACAATTTGATTTGAATGATGTCACCACGGCTGACGACACAACAATACAATTGTGTGCGATATTTGTATGTGTCAATACACATTGTAAACCAAAAGTCACTGTGTTCTTTAATCTGATTGGTTAAAAAACATGATCGAATGGTATTCTATTCCTGAAAATTGCAAGACCATTTGCTGCGTATTAATATGCACAAACATCGCACACACCATTGTATTGTTACGTCGTCAGCTCTCTGAGCAATTTTGCACTAGCCCATTATAATCATGTACATTTGTGCAGTAAAACACGGTAAGCAAGCGTGACTGCCCTGTTCATTGACATCATGTTTAATTGTTCAATGACATCACAGACGATGAAATCAGCTGTGTCAGAAACATGGTGTGACATCCTGGAGATCTAATGTCCCATAACTTCAAAGGACTTCCTCCAAATTAAGGCCCTCAAGTGCTATTAGAAAGGACTACAGTCAGTTTGGCTCAAAAGCGGACCTATGAATTGCAATCTAACTCGAAAACTAATAAACATAGCATACTCAATGAAACGCTGATCATAATCAAAACATCATTCCCACTCCGTGAGTTTTTTGTCGAATTTTTGTTCTAAAAAGAAAAAGGTTGTTTAAAAAACTATCATTAAGACATTGACACAGTTCACTGTTTGTTACGAGGGAGGAGTGCAGAGAAAGGGACAGCCAGGTGTTCGAGAAGCACGTTCACAGACAAAGTTATTTATTCATTAACCTGTGCTGTGCCGTCTCCATCCGTTCTCGAACACCTGGCTGTCCCTTTTAATTGCACTCCTCCCTTGTAACAAATAGTGAACTGTGTCAATATTTTAATGATAGATTGTTAAACAACTTTTTTATTTTTAGGACAAACATTCTCCAAAAAACTCACAGAGTGGGTATGATGTTTTGATTATGATCAGTGTTTCATTGAGTATTTTATGTTTATTAGTTTTTTGAGTAAGATTGCAATTCATCGGTTCGCTTTTGAGCCAAACGGACTATACCATGGCTGGATTTCCATTTCTGAGGTTCAATACAACAGGAGTATACCTCAAGCAGCCAGGACCATTTGTTGCTAATATACTAAGATTGCTTACCTCCATCTACAATCTTCTCAAGCCTGAAAGTGTTGTACCAGAAGCACTCCCTCATAATGTAGGGTCCAAGGACTTTGAGATCTCCCATTGGGGGAGTCACCACGGTATATTTCTCACGCACAACTTCAGCACGTGGTAGGTAATAGCCCTCTCGCTGTTAAAAACAAAAAGACATTTTTTCAAACCCAAACAATGTTCAATATAACACCTGAGAAGACATTTTTCTTCATAATATTTGAGTGCTACATAGCTCAAAAGATCTCCTGGGTCAATAGAGTTCATCTGTATATTGTCATATATATCACAAACTGGATTCCACGGGGATATCACTTGGGTGAGAAAAGTGATCAAAATCAATCAAAATGCATTGCAGAACTTTGTGACATCATCGGTACCATGACATCATAATCAAATGACATCACATGCCTCTCTTGACACTGAAGCAGGTTAGCTGAACCAAAGGTACTGGATTATAATCCCACAAATTAATTTCATTTCAAAGGACACTCAGGTGAGATCATTAACTTTCTGGGGTTTAGGTCACACAATCAGACACTACACATATCAGAGGATATTATACAATTATAGACTGGTCAATACCTGTTTTTATGGACCCGCGAAAAGCAATATTGACCGAGGGCGAAAATTATTTTTCTTGACTAAATGGACATGTTTTGGTTTTGAGAAGCTTTATTTTCAGTAATTACATAATAAAACAATTATGGACTGGTGAATACCTGCTTTTATTACCTATGAGGGCGAACATATCGGGGTTCATATTTTTCATACGATGCCCTAGGGCAAAAATGTAATTTTTTTGAGTAAAATTGATATTTTATACTTATCCTGACTCATGCTCTTTTGCTTGTCTCCTTCCTCTTGCGAACATAGTGGAACACTTGTATCTCCCTAATTGAAGTTCCCTTCAATGTAAAATCACTAATTAGTACACCACGAGTTACCTCCCTTCCACAAGCGCGTGAACGAGGGCGCCACCTCTACCCATGTGCCTCACTCTCTCCTCATATACTGAGCCCAACATTTGAATTTACAGGGAAATCCAAAGTGTTATTTGGGGAGGATGGGAGGGCTGACCTCATGAGTCAGGATAAGTATAAAATATCAATTTTACTCAAAAAATTACATATTTTTCCTTATCCTGACTCATGCTCTTTGCTTGTAGAATCCAACAGAGCCGAGGTGGGAATATATAATACTTTGGATTTTAATAATTAGTGATTTGAACTGTGATGATTGTAATAACCCTATGAGAACTTCATAAAGGCATTGAACTGATGAATTCCTGCTGCCAGCTTATCAGCTGCCATATAGAGGTTATTACAATGTACCTTATTATGATAAGTATATATAATATTAATACAATGCTTAAGACTAATAGACTTAAGCTTGTTAATATGCTAGTATAAACTCCTTAGAGTTTGTTAGCTAAAATACTTTAAGATATAAACATAGCACTAAGCTTAAAATATGATTAATTTTAAGCTAATTATATAATAACAAACCTCTTTAGGGTTTGTTAGTTAAAATATTTATATGATATAGACAGTGCTGAGCTTAAGATATGAATAAGCTTAGCTATATATATAACAGCAAACTTTGTAGAGTTTGTTAGCTAATACATTTTACAATATGAGTATAGTATTGTGCTTAAGATATAATTATCTTAAGCTACATATATAATAGCCAAACTTAGTAGAGTTTGTTAGCTAATATATTTTTACAATATGAGTATAATACTGTGCTTAAGATATAATTAACTTAAGCTACATATATAATAGCCAAACTTAGTATAGTTTGTTAGCTAATATATTTTTACAATATGAGTATAGTACTGTGCTTAAGATATAATTAACTTAAGCTACATATATAATAGCCAAACTTAGTAAAGTTTGTTAGCTAATATATTTTTACAATATGAGTATAGTACTGTGCTTAAGATATAATTAACTTAAGCTACATATATAATACAGCCAAACTTAGTAAAGTTTGTTAGCTAATATATTTTACAATATGAGTATAGTACTGTGCTTAAGATATAATTAACTTAAGCTACATATACAATAGCCAAAACTCTGTAGAGCTTATTAGCTAATAGATTTATAATGTAACCATAGTACTAAGCTTAAGATATGATTAGACTTAAGCTAAATGTATATAGCAAAAACTCCTTAGAGTTTATTAACTAATATACTTTTATGTTATAAACATAGTACTGAGCTTAAGATATGATTAACTTAAGCTATATATATATAATAGTAAAACTCCGTAGAGTTTGATAGCTAATACATTTTATTATGTTGATTTAGACCTAGTATTGAGCTTAAGATATGAAGTAAACCTTAAGCTAAATATATAATAGCAAAAAACCTTTTGAGTTTTAATAGCTAATATACTTATATGGTATCAACATAGTATTGAGCTTAAGATATGAAGAAACCTTAAGCTACATATGTATAGCAAAAACTCCGTGAGAGTTTGTTAGCTAATACATGATATAATGTAACCATAAAGCTTAAAATATGATGAAAACTTAAGCCCAATATATAATAGCAAAAACTCTTTTAGAGTTTTGATATCTAATATACCTATATGCTATAAACATAGTACTGAAGCTTTAAGATATGAATAAGCTTAAGTTACATATATAATAGCAAAAACTCCATAGAGTTTGTTAGCTAATACATGTTATAATGTAACCATATTGCTTAAGATATGATGAAACTTAAGCCAAATAGCAAAAGCTCTTTAGAGTTTGTTAGCTAATATAGTTATATGATATAAACATAGTACTGAGCTTAAGATATGAATGAGCTTAAGCTACCTATATAATAGCAAAACTCCGTGAGAGTTTGTTAGCTAATGTATTTTACAATATGAGTATAGTACTATGCTTAAAATATACTTGACTTAAGCTACGTATATAATAGCCAAAAAAAACTCTGTAGAGTTTGTTAGCTAATGCATTTATCATGTAACCACTGTGATGATAAAAAACGAGCTTAAGCAAATTATATATAGCATGAAGCTATTTAGTACTGTTATAAGATAAGTAAAAATCTGTAATATTGACTTATCTTCTCCGAGGAACTGTCAACTGTTGTGCAAGGACCATGGGATCAAATTGGTGGATACCTGAGATGTCCTCGGTGGTGATATCTCTCAGATAATGGTTGGCAACCACCATATCGGATCTACAGTAATAAACCCTCCATTATTTCAAATAACATTTGTGTAGATGAAATTGTAGAAGTTAGGGCTCTAATATCAAGAGTATTAAAGCTCATGGAGGGTCGGATTAGGTCCATCTGTCTTGTATGCACGTAGTATGACAGTTCGATCCAAACGGAGATATAGTATGCATTGAGACTACACTCTGCGTAAGTTGATGATAGAGGAAAAAATCTGTTGTATATTTTCTTCCTGTTTGGTTTGGTGGAGATAAATTTACAGTGCTCTTGCTGGCCAGCGTGATAGCATCATCGTATCATGGAGTCCAAGTATGTCATCCAGGCATGTTCATAAACCTCACTTGTGAGGTGTTGTAGCACTATATTCATATCCCCAAGTTGGTACATTGAAACTTCCGTTTATTCTCCAAACAGAAACTTAGTAGGTTTACTAACCATCTAGTTATGTTAGTAGCTTGATGATGAAATTCAGGTGTAGTCTGAAACGCTGTGGATTTCGATCCACTTGTATCACGCCGTCTAGGTAAATCGTTATGTATGTCCTTGACGATGTATGTGCACAACGGAGTTTGTGTCCTCGATGAACTTTATGTAAAAATCGCCTGACTGCTGTGCCCCTTGTCTAAACTTGACAGGGGAGGTCTCTAACCTGAAGAAAGCAGCCTAATCATGAAGGTTCAGGTTAACTGGGCTGTAAGGAGGCTTGCTCGTTCATTGATATAAAGTTGTCACTTGCAACCTATGTCTTGAACTGTGAACTATGCCTCGACCTCTGTGTAGGCGTTGTTCATCGGGTCCAATCAGAATAAGGCATTTTGATTCTGTAGAGTACCCGCTTGTGATGTCACCGGTGTAGCAGGAAAAGGAACCTTGTATAATATAGTGCCGTCGCTGATATTAGAACAATCATCGGTCTTCATCGTAACTTCCGGTTACCCGGTGACCACGTGTTTCGAGGATTAATGGTAAACGCCGAAAAGCTTCGGTAAAAAATACCTTGCTCTGTAATATTAATGCTGGGTAGGTTATTTTCCTGGCTGTCGTGAAAGTACTTCAGTTTTGAATATAATTCCGACTTCTTTATATATAAAGGTACAATAACTTGTAAGTTGTCAGCTTGTAGACTGTATACATGAATGTATCGTCATAATTGTAGAATTAAAGCTGAATTTGTTGTACATATTTCTTCTCAGAAATGTTGACGATTATGAGTTATACTCGCTGTAACAAGGCTGCTGTTCAATTTCGATATTGAATTGTCTGCAGATATGCGTAATGGTCACGCATGTAGATAATCGTGATCGTCGTCCGGGATTGCATATACTAGCAATTTATACGGAATAGTTGATTTCTGTGAAGATCTATGAAACGCGTCGTTGACAAATTAATACAGCGGCGTTCTGTGTTGTAAATAGCCTGTGCAATTGTCTTCAGAGGCTTATAGACGGCATCTGGCATACAGTTGATAGACAACTTATGCGATGTCTTGAACGGACTGAGGAGTAGCTATATATGACGAGTGGCTAGTATATGGAGACCTTGGAGGTGACTTCCTCGGTGAACGCCGAGACTTCACGCTAAGCTCTCGAAGTATCCCTTCTAGATCTACTGGTGAAGTAGACTTGGAGCCACTTAGCCTTCGCGACCTTCGCGAAGGTATCGAAGTCAAAGTCCGATTAGAATATATATATATATATATATATATAAGAGCTTGCTTCGCGAATGGCCTCTGTGTTTAACAGGATGTGGGGTCGGTGAAGCGCTTACTCCTCCGCGGCGTCCCCCTTGTAGCTGGTGAGGCTCTAGCTCCTTCGCCGAGGCGCCTGGGACTTGCTGGTTCTGCATAAGTAGGGCCGAGTGGATCATCTTATCATTTTCAGAAGTCGTGTTACGAAATCTGGTGATAAGTGTCTCAATGATCGTTCTAGATCTATTTAGGCCAACGAACATACCGCCTCGTCATGGATTCAACTGAACCAATTTACGCATTGTAGTTCTTATTGTTGATATCGATGATCAACTTGTAGTTTTCATCGATGTCTTAAGCCTTGAAGAAGGGGTCCATGTTGTGCGTGGAAAACTTCTAGGCATTGAAAGTTCGGCAATTATGGTGTCTGAACTTTTGTGGCTTTATGGGATGCTATGTCTAGATTCTGTGCTACCGCAGCAATCGGGTCCATCGGAGGTAGGGTGATAGCATCTGCGCCGCCTTCCTTCATCAGGTATGTCCGCGCCGCATCGCCACTCTAGGAAGGTGATGTAGACTTGTGTGCAGACTTGTGTGGTAACCTGTGAGGCGATCGATGTGGTGATGTACGAGGAGATCGGAGACTATTGACAGCTTCGCGAAGCTCTTTGAGTAGTCCCTTGACTCTGTTAAATGACGATCTATATTCGGGTGTCCTTCCCGAGTGCCTTCGCGAATGCCTTCGCGCCAACGCCACTTAACGCTGCAAGAACGCCTTCGCGAAGCTTCCTCTGCGCTCGGGTGCTGGGGAACGGCGATTTGAGCTTCGCGAAGGCTTCCGTGAGGTCTGGTGGCTGAGTCTGCATCTAAGGATGAAGCCGAGGAATGTGATGATCTATCCCGCCTTCGGAAGGCCTTCGCGGCTGTACATCTGGGTCCTTCGCCAAGGTGGTCTGCGACTTCCTTCGCGAAGGCTGCATCGCCTTGGCTGCTACGCTGACTGGAGGTGCCTCTAGAGTGTTGTTCTAAGTTGGAGCCTTCGCGAAGGCTCGTGACTCTGGGCTGGCTGCTTCTCCAGTCTGTAGTGACCCTCCATCACGACCAAGATTTGCCGTAGTAGCTCGTCTGGGATGGTCTGCGGCGACGAAGTAAGTCGGTGCCATCTCTGCGCTGTTAGTGGTGGGGCCCTCAGGTAAGTCGTCTGACATCAGTGTAGAGACATCAGGCTGCATGACGATCTCTGCTGATGTCATTGTAGCTGTCACCGGTCGCTACTTGTCTCATACGTCGAGGATGATGATCGGCTGATCATCGTAGAGGCCAAGTTCAGCGGCTGGAACAATCTCGGTTGAGAAAGTCCTAGTAGACTTCGTTGAATTCCCCTCAGAGGTCGACGCTGCCCTGGGGGTGCGAAGTCTGCGCTGAGTGTTGGTAGCGACGGACCCTCAGGAAGATCATCGAATGTTGATCTGCGCTGACATCACTGTTGCCGACATCAGTCATTCTTTGATGTACATCAGGAATGATGATCGGCTGATCATCATACAGGCCCAAATCTGCGATGAGAACAATCTCGCTGAGAAAGTTCTAGTAGACTTCGTTGAATACCCCTCAGTGCGACGAAGGGATGTCTGGGGAAGCAGGACGCTTTGAGGCGGCGGACTCACGCCCCACGCCTCTCCACCATTCTAGCGGAAACCCAGACGGGAGGGGGTCGACCAACAGCAGTAGACTGGCGAGGGTTCAGGTGTATCAGTCATGCTAGACTCTGCATAATGTGACCCATCTGCCGCGCGCCTCAAAAACGCAGTAATTATTTATTAAAGGTAGAATTGGATAAATTAGTATCGCGAACTGCAACGCGGAATCACATGAAACATGGCGCAGTACAGCTAGGGCATATTAAATGCGGATCAGCAGCAGAATAAAAACGTAATGTGCAACAGTACAGAATTTTTATCAACGTAATCCACTGCAACAGCACGGCCCCGTGCATAAACAGTAGAAACAACGACTAAATATCAATATATAATTGTTGAAAGATACTAGCTAAACCTCTATAGATCTCTATACGAGGTAACTAACTAAATATAATCAAAGGATATAGTGTGTCGGGAGACACAGGCGCTCTCACGTCCAGCTCACTGGGCGAAGAAGGAGAGAGTGAGGCACATGGGTAGAGGTGGCGCCCTCGTTCCCGCGCTTGTGGAAGGGAGGTAACTCGTGGTGTACTAATTAGTGATTTTACATTGAAGGGAACTTCAATTAGGGAGATACAAGTGTTCCACTATGTTCGCAAGAGGAAGGAGACAAGCAAAAGAGCATGAGTCAGGATAAGGAAAAATTATCACTTTGTCATGGTGACGTGCTATGAACCATGCCATCACGTCACGTTTCTTCTGTGACGTTACGTTCTACATGCGGCGATCGCTGGTAGCCAGCCTGTGTTTGAAAGTAGATTTGGGTTTATTTTCCACAATTTGACGACTTCATTAATAAACAGAATATTATATGAGTGCCCATATCATACTCGTAAACATAGTATGACACGGGCATTCATATAATATCCTTTATTTATGGACTCCCGAAAAGCAATATTGACCGACGACAAAAATAAAGCTTCTAAAAACCAAAACATGTCCACTTAGTCAAGAATAATAGTTCAGGGTGAAAGTGTGCTTTACTACACTATACATGGTGGTAAAGCGAACTGTATTTCTTTTCTAAGATGCCAAATTTAATACTTTCTAAGGATAACTACAATTAATCTAAGGCAGAAAACAAACGACGGTGTCGGTGACCTAAAGTAAGAATCCTCACACAGGGCTAACTGGCGCGCTGTTCTATAGATGTTTCTGCCCCCTTACATTAAGACGAAGCTGAGTAGTCAAGCGACATTCCACGATTGCATTGTGGGAATGTTAACATTGCGAACGTTACCGTGTTGCTGAAAACTTTTGAGTCGAATCGAGACATTTTAACTGTTGGAAAACATAAACGTAATGTTTCCAACAGTGATGTTAGCTGTGTGAAGCAAATGCAAACCAAGAAACGGGATGCAACGGAGTAGTTTACTGTAGGAGGCTGTACAAAGCGATGAAAATTGACACACATTGTGACGTCTCGTACATTGTGACGTAATGCAAACTTGATCGAATACGAGGGGGCAGACTAGAATGGCACAGTGACGCCAATACATTGTGACGTAATGCAAAAAGTGCACATTATCGTCTGATAAAGTACTGTCGGCGCCTTTGATCTTTCACCGAAGCATCTTAGAAAAAACAATAACGTTATGTCAACAACACTGTGACATGTAAACAATAGAATGACGTCATAGCTTGACGTCAAAATCTATTTTTAGTAACTCAAGTCAATATGACTTTTGGTCGGACCTGGGTTGGAGTCAATATGCTTTTCTGTCGACGGTCACATGACCACCTCTAGACCAATCAGGTAGCCGGAAAAATATGCTTTCATAATAATTGTAGCTGTATTACTGATGGGAAAGTTTGGTATTAGTATATTAAGGTATCATTGCACCTCTCTTACTAAAACACAAATTTAGACCCGATTAAGCCTGAACATATCTTTACAGGACAAAAACACTGAAAACTAAAAGACTTGGTATTAACGAATATAAACTAATGATAGTTTCTTCATTGCACACTGAATGCCACTGGCCTTACCCCAAGTTTGTTGATGAGGTCAATAACATCTTTGGGCGGGGCAATCAATGTGCGGTTGAGTCTCATCACATAGCAGCTTGCACGCTCATGGTCCACAATCGCAGTGTAATTCTAAAACATTGATTTAGTTCATGTTGAATAGTCTCATCACATAGCAGCTTGCACGCTATGGTCCACAATCACAGTGTAATTCTAAAACATTGATAAAGTTCAGATTCAATAGTCTCATCACATGGCAGCTTGCACACTTTGGTCCACAATCACAGTGTAATTCTAAAACATAGCTATAGTTCATGTTGAATAGTCCTGGCAGAATTGAGTTTGTGAGCTGGTTATGTCACCACTTTGAACAGTATTCCAGCTGTGTAACAAAACTGGGGAAAACTAAGGTTCAACCCACAATTCCAGGTGTCTGGCACAACCCTAGTAAAGTCCTGTCATTCTCAGAACCAAATAGTTCAACTCAAACCCATGGCTCAGTCACCTATGCAAATCTTGAAGTACCGGCAGCTTGAATACATCGTTGTACAATGCTAAAGGTGAGGTACATTATCGGCATATCATCATCATATTTGTACAATACTTGACCCAAATAAAGAACCCCCATCAGATCAAAGCCTTTAGTGGCGCTCTAAACCATATAATTATTTGGAACAAAAAGAATGCATGTCACTGCTGCTTACAAGGAAGTTCCAAGACTTCCCCTGTATAAATACTGACTACTTAAGAAAGAACCCTCATGTGAAAAAAATACGGAGCCATAGGAAAAGACATACATGCCAAAGTTGCCTCATCCAAATGTGCCTTTTGATTCAGGTGAGTTTACAACCTGACAGTCTGTAAATGCTTGTTTCAAGACAACACCAATATAAAATCTGAATAACGGTTGTCACATGACAAACACAATAAACAAGCATGCTGAACACAAGAACAGGCCAAAAGTTTTTTGTTAAGCTTTGGTATCAAAACAAAATGAGCACTAAAATTGATATAAATATGAGAGTTGATGTGTTTCAGCACCTAGATTATTCTGTATGACAACAACCTTGACATCAACATTACTCTTCCTTATCCCAGCTGAAAATATAACATATAATACACATTTATTATCATTGGGAAACAGTTGTGAATGGTGAATTTTGTGCCAATTCATTGAAAAGATTGCAATATTCTATCAAATCGATGTGTTGCAGCAAACTTCCATCAAGTGTTCACCTCTCTCCAGTTCACACTAGTCATGACACAATGTAGAGGAATGTAGATACCAACTTCTTCTACCCCACACACCTTATTTTAGATCTGATCCCATGTTACTACCTGTTGTCAATCTTCAATAAAAGCAACTGAATGGTCAGTTTTAACCATAATCAAGAAGTGGTTGAGGTTGGAGAGGGTTGGTTGGTTGGTTGACAGACCAGTATTGACCTTCCACAAGACAGGGATATCAGGCCTAGAGAGGAACTGAGTACTACGCCGAAAAATACCTAAACCTCACATAATTTGAGATCTTTGAATGCTAGGCTCAAATCATATTCTAAAAGCCTAACAGCTTGTCTTGAGGCTTCACTCACTTGCACTGAGAATTTAGAAGCAGCGATGCCGATTGGCTGATTGGAAAGTTCACCTGATGAAAACTCCTATGGGAGAATCCTCACACCTTCATGCAGAGGTATTGCATCTGAGTGAAAGATCCGATAATAACAACAGGATTGGTGACTGATTGAAAAATCACGTACAAGCAATCAAAGACTTGGTAACAAATGCAGACAGACTACCCAGTTTGATGCCCGGGCATATTGCATTTCATAATATTCAGTCTCATATATTTGCTACCATAAAAAACCCACATCTTCAGAAAACAAAAATTACAAAATATATTAGAGCTCAGGCCAAAAAAATATATATGTGTGTTTACGGTTTCCCAACCGACCCCATCACAAACTTCCCGACCCTAAACCTTTTTTCCCTTTTTTTTAAGCGCCGGCAAAACATTTTGCTATTCCAACAGTATGTACTCCCCAATGTCTGGGGCGACCATATGTGACCTGTGCTCACTTACTCATGTTTTTCATAAATGTTGAATTTAGAAAGTGTTATTGCTTCAGTTATTAAAATTTTAAACTCGTTTCCCCTCTTTACTTTCAAAACTGGTGCCTGATATTACATAAATATGTGATTTTATGAAAAATATGCGAGTGCATTTAAAAAAAAAAAAATGTAAGAAAAAAAGATAAACCCTACCTACCGACCCTGTTTATAATTTCATGTTACCCTAAACACACATATTTTTTTTGGGGGGGGGGCTCACTGATTACCTGTTGGAAATCATGCCATACGTCGGTCTCATCACACTCGTCAAACTTGGGCACCTGCAGTCTTTCGTAGCTGTCAGCCTCCGACACTTCAACATTCTCCTCAAAGAAATCAAACTTGAATCCCACATCATAATCCTCCTGTGTTAGGTCAATTGAAACAGGGTCACGACCTCTAAGGAAGTCTGCTTGCTGATGATAGATCTCATCATAGTAGGTCACTCCACACCTTCCTGTGATGACCTGTGAGGAACAGAGCAGCAATATGAGTGACTGAGTTAGTGATGTACAAGACCAAGGTTATATACGGGATTCAAAGTGCCCTTGTAAAGCAAAAGAATCATCATTTTGTTAAAACTTTTTCCAACATTTGATCATTCAGCTATATTGGTCCTTTTTGTTAATGAACTACAGTCAAATCGATAAAGTTATAACATTAGGTATGGTTCGCACAGAGTATCTGCCATCAAATTTAGGATATTCAAGGCCAAATCAACAGTTAACTATAGAAACACATATAACAAATAAGTAGTTGAATACACATACGGTTGGTGAAATGTGGAACCGACGATCAGAGGGAAATAACTTATTTCTTGTGTATACAGGACTCAATACTTTGTGTCAAGTAAAACCCTGATATCAAACTTATCACACCTTATGAAAAACTTAAGAAATCTGAATTTCTATCTACTGCCAGCTGATGAATAACTTACTCTGTGAGACAGGTGCCTGTACAGAAATATGGCGCCAATGATGCCAGCTCCCACTACAATTAGGGCTGCAATTATCAAGCACAAGTTGACATATGTCCTTGTCTCATGTGGTCCATATGTCACTCGAACAACTTTCGGGGCCACAACATCTTCCCTCTCCCCTGTCTGAAAGAAAGGAAATGGATCCTGATAATAAGGAAGTTTGTAAACACATTCTCAGGAGTAAACTGGAGCTGTCACCAATACCCAGGCTATTCCACAGTAACAAATCAACCATGAGGCGAATACAACACATATCACAACTACAGGGTCACCAGTTGAGGTTATATTCTTTACATTCAGTCAAATGATAACAAAAAAATTATATTTGACATGTTTTGACAGTGTTGACAGTATAAATTTGTCACAACAATAACCAGTGACCACATTACTGTCAAATGAAACATACTGTAGACTTATCCTGCCTGACCTGGATATATTCCATTTTGCATATCTACTTTGATAAATACCAAATTGAAGTAAAACAATACATTGAATTCAAGAAGGAATATGTTTTTTATTCACCAAAGTGAGTCTTGACATCATGAGCAACATCTCAACATCAACACACGGTCAAACCTAATCCACATCAGGGGTGGAAATCACCCATTGCCCGACGTCAGAGTCCAGTGTTTTTTTTCTGTCGGGCAAGCAAATTCGTATATCACACTGTACCAGCATCCAGATGACTTTCCAATGTTAATTATGTTGTTTATTTAAAAAATTCAACAAGAAAACGTCCGGTATAGTGGAAAAATTATCAGGGCAATTGATTTCACATGTTCCACTGTACCAGAGTACACTAGCAATTTTAAAGTTATTTCCACCCTTGCACGTACTTGCCTTGTGTGACAAACATAGAATCTAGTTACAATCCCAAATTGGCTTATAGGGCAGCAGACTTTGTACAACTTTACCATGTTTTCATCAATGACACACAAAATGCACAAGAATTGAAGGCTTTACCTAACTGCAGTGTTTTACATGACGTGTGATTCCTGCGTATTTGACGCAACAATTTTCTAAAACTCTCTCAAAATATTATCATACGAGTCAAGGTTGACGCAAGTTTTATGAGTGACCCTCAGAATTCAGTTCAATAAAATCGATAAAAAAACCTGTTTGATAAGCAAACAATAATAGTTTTCATTTTCTTGCAAACTGTGTTGATAACGCTTGTGTTACCAACACTTAGTAACAGAAAGTACGGGAACACCACCAAGTGGCTGAAAATAGAGCTATGCGGCAATGTGGTAAAGATGCCACCCAATAGCATTTGAGTACGTCATTCACAATACTTAGATAGCCAATAGTAGCTGAGTATGTCATTCACTATATTTAGACTATGTTTTGGTTATTTAAGCATGGCCAGTCCTGCTAAGAAACAACAGTCGCTTGACTTGTTTTTCAGTACTGAAAGCGAGAAAAACAAATTTCCTGATATTTCTAATGATGATGCAAATAAATCGAGCACTAAAACCAACTACAAAACATCAAAATCAATCATAAGGTTATTTTGCGAGGATTTGCTATCGCTAAAAATCTGGCTAAGATACCACAGTGCCAATAAAATCATGACTTGAGATATGTGCATTCAGTAAAAAAAAATCCTGAACCCAATTACATTTGCTTGTCAAAATTTTCCGAAGTTGACCTGAACGAGACATCAAGCTTCTAAAGATCACACTGATGCAGTAAAACAAAATTACGAAATGCAACAGCATTTCAGCGCATCTGTCATCATAGTGTCAAAAATGCAGAAAAGGCAGACGAAGTTCACCGTAGAGACCAGACTGATGGTCACATTAAACAAATGCTTACTGTTTATGTCATCGATGCAACATTGCATTAATTCATTTGAACTTTTAATTTTATTTTGTAATCTAAATATGTAATTTTGGGGGGAATAAATTATACGGTAGCTTCTCTGAGGACTCATAGTATTATTGAGAGAATGCATTATTATTTTTAGAGAAGTGTTGTGTGAAATAGTGCCTTTAATCACCATGATAATAAACATTAAAATATTCAAAGCAGGTGAACACTGGCCATTCTCAATAATATAATACAGTCATCGCTCGCAATAACGCTCTTCGCGATACCGTGGATTCGGTTAAACCGCAGGGTAATCCGTGGCTCCCATAAAAAAAGTTGCCCAGTGATCACACATATTCATGTCATCGAAAATAGCACATCAACAAATCAGCTCTTGAGCTCTGGTTAATCACGTTGTAAAGTAGTGAAATTCAGTGCGGATTGCAATCAACAGTGTTTATCGTACATATCCACAGGGGTGGAAATAACCCATTGCCCGACGCCCCAGTCTAGTGTTTTTTTCTGTCGGACAAGCAAATTTGTATATCACACTGTACCGGTGTCCAGTTGACTTTCCAATGTTAATTATGTTGTATATTTAAAAAATCAACAAGAAAATCGGCCAGTATAGTGGAAAAATTATCAGGGCAAGTGATTTTACATGTGCCACTGTACTGGAGTACAATTTTAAAGTTATTTCCACCCCTGATCCATGGTTTTTCAGATGCTTAAAACATGCAGGGTCTTTTTCAATAATAATTGATGAACAGCGAAACATCATAATGACTTTATCATAAAGACATGTCGATTATCAGCCGAGTACTTACAACGTTTGCTATGATGCAACACACCGCGTAATTGCGTGGGTAAACACCGCCATCCGAGAATGTATGATGTCAGAAAACACATTTTATTTGATTAAATTCAATCCCATTTTCATTCATTAAAACTGTTTACAATAACAACGGAGAAACCGTGAGTGAAATGGCATTACCTCATTCCATACAACGCCCGCTTACCACATTCGTGAGGGTCCATTTTTCATGCCTACCGCGATAGCACCAATTTCACATTTTTCTCAGCAATCACGAACAGATTACAGCCTTGTCATCCATTGACCCCAAGACCCGCGTTATTGACTCATTGAAGTCATATTTGACAATCAATTGCCAACATTTTGCTTTTACAATCAAAGTGGCGTGTACCGTGGGAAGTCAGCGGTGAATTGTCAAACTGTCTCCTACATAAAATGTATCCAGCCAGGTAACCCAAAGTGGTTAGCAATGCTTATTATTATGTTAAAAATGTGCGTAGGAAACATGCATTATACTTATACGATAGCAATATATAAGATCTCTGTTAGAATAATTGCTTGACATATAAATTATTCTGATAATGGAATAGAAATTCTTGGATGTTATATTTTCGGATCGTTTTTAACTGAATCACCGGTACATTGGACCCAAACATTGATGTGTGCCCAGCTGATTGCTATTTCCGGCTTAGTTGAATGACAGGAAGCATGACAGGAACAACAATTGAATTATCATGTCTTGTCATGTTTGATTGCAAGTTTCATGTACATACATCTATTTTTGATTTACAAAGTATTATGTTTTTTTCATCTCCAACAATACGATATAGTTTTGACTGGGCACAATACACGAAATAGCAGTTTTGTTATGTCCATGGAAAATACGATTTTACTTGGCCTTTGTTCCGCGTTATTTAATTGTTACTATAATGCGGGTGTCTAATAACGCGGTGTGTGTGTGTGTGTGTGTGTGTGTGTGTGAGTGTGAGAGAGAGAGAGAGCGAGAGTGAGAGAGAGAGACAGAGAGAGAGAGAGATGGACCCTAAGATCAATGCCTTTACTAATTCATTCCAACTCACAGACAGGTTCAGAAGAATTTTAGCTGGAGTCACATACTGGTCTTATACTATTATTATAAGAATATTCAGATATCCTAACAGTAAGTCCTATTTGAAAGACCAACTATTTACAGGGATTTACCTGGGTCAATCTTGATGGGTAACAATGTTAGCATGGTTAGCTTCTACATCGAAATGTCAAATCAATTGCAATTAAGAAGCTGCCTAGCCATAAAAATTGCTCTTCTATTTTGCAATTCATCGTTCTCATTTGGAGACAAAAGTGACTTCAATGTGAAATGGTAGTCCATAATGACTACTACACTAAGTATTGCTATGTGCAAATGTCACCAGTCGTCACTGAATCTTACTAGTCCCTTAGATGAGTAGACATAAGTTATTATTAAATTTGAACACCACTATAAGTGATTCCATCATTTACATAACAGCACTGAATAATAATCGCTTCTGAGTCTGGTCTGTCATGTAATTTTGTATAATATACACAAGCGACTGGCAGCATATCAGCTGACCTGCCCTAGCATCAAACAGACAATAACACTAGGCTTCACAGTGAGGAGTCCAGTCCATGTCTGTGTCTTGGCAACGTAATTAATGACATGTGTGAAACTGAGCTGTTGTCTCTGTGTACAAAGCTAATTAATTACATTGGGGATAATCATTAACTGCTGGATGGAACTATGCAGTACATGAGATTGCTGGATCTATGACAACATCCACAAGAAATGATTCTGTAAAGTGAGCTTTAAAAGACATATACCATGTATTTGCAAATTGCTGGGATAATATGATAGTATAGCAGGGATACAGCTTTTCTAACACAGAGGGTGGAGGTGGTGGTAAGGGCAGGGGACTACACTTCAAATGAAGTTACATAATGTTCAATCAGATACAAAATTGTGTAACTTGTTAGCCAAAAATCAGTCAAATCACTCTGATGCTTATGTGTCACAAAATAATACTAAATTTTAGCAATATTTATCAAGTTTCTAATGCTAACCAGATTGGCTGATAGTGATTCCAAGGAGTATATGTTGCCATAAAGCTGGAATATAGCTGAGTGCTGTGTTAAACTAAAAAACACCAAGCATCCAATGAATCTTATTTGGCAGCAAATTGTTTTTGAGAAAGTATGATATACATACACAGAAGATGTTTACTGTATGAAATAAGATGGTGTTTTTAGTGCCACTGCCACGATGGCATTGGTAATATTATTCAAAGACCAAGACGAAATCTCAAAACAGGAATTAGTCTTTAAGCAGAATGATAATAAAATACGCTTTACGCTTCACTGTTTACCAACACGACTGAAGATGAAAATTGGTCGTGCAGAACTTAGCATAAATAATATTTTTCACTTCGTTTGCATAATATAATCACATTATGTACGATATGGTGTAGCTGGCTTCTTAGTGTTACCGGACTGTAACTGACAACACACCCAGTACTCAAAGTATCAAATTATTTAGATCTAGGTCAAATTAGATGTTGCCTATTCCGTATTCGCCATTTGTAATTTGTCTACAATAATAATTCAGAGTAGGTTTGTTTTAAAGATTGTCTATTTACCAGGGGTTCCATAACAACGGCCGCCTCCTCGGGTGACTTTTCATCCTTTTTATCTGATTGTAGAGTCTTGTAGATAGTCATTGTCTTTGTTTTCCCAAAATCCTGTCCTAGACAGATCGAACACAAACACTATATCTACGCTGTCAGTCTCGCAAAACCGGAAACCACATTCATTACCACGAGAAGTCAATCAACCAATCATAATGTAGAGCTCAAGCAAACGCGGGACTTTGTGGTGTTGCATAACGTGTTTACAAAATGTTTATTTACGAATGTGGTTGTGTATGAGCTCTGTGAAGGATATTTACTGGTATGTAGCCGAAATCGACAAAGAAAAGAAAGGTTCTAAATGGTTTGTTTTAGTAAAAGCCGCGATATCTCGCAATTAATATTACAATGTCAGTGACGCTGTCTTAAAAACAGCGACCGTCTGATTGAAGAGGGGTATACATGTGCAGCATTCAACTGCATTCATCACTTGTACGTTATTTTGTGTATGATACAAATCTTACCCATACAGGAAACATATGCTGCATTAAAAAAAACCCCGTGAATATCCATGCTAGAATTAATCCCAGAGTCATTGACTGACTATAATATAAATTACATATGCCGGCAGAATTTGCAATAAGCACTTTTTAATGAAATGATTCGAAGCAGGGTTAGAACATTTGACAATGTTCAATGAATACCTAGCTACTCTTAAGGGGCGACTAACCATGCTAATTAAGCTCATTTGTCCCAGTAGCATAGGTTGATGCTCATGATGTCAGTCGTTGGATTAGATAGGTATAGATGAGGTGAGGTGAAATTGGGTTTAACGTCACGCTGGAAATATTTCGCTCATATGACGACGTGCATGCGTGTGTATGTGTAGGTGCGGCTGCTTGTACTAGCCCAGACTGAAACTGGTTTTATAGTGCTAGCCCACTGAGATACCATGCCGCAGTGAAGCATGTCATTACCCCACTCAGACACATTATACTGACTTCGAGCTGACCAGTCCTTGTTGTACCCATTAATGCCGAGAGCCAGGCAGGGACCAACAAGTACCATATTTTAACGTCTTTTGGTATGACGCGGTCGGGGATCGAACCTGCGACCTTCCGCTCTCCGGGCAGACGCTCTAACCACTACACCACAGAGGCGGTCTAGATAGATATAGAGCCCTGGGTGCTGTTGTACAAAGCGATCTTAGAGCTAAGGTTGTTTTGTACAACGGCACCCAGGCCAGGCACCTCTCTGTAGTATACTTAGTGGTTTTGGCCTACCTTTAGAATGCAGCACCGCAATACTGAGCATCGATCTACGCACTTATGACACAATGACTTGCATCAAGCTAAGTCATCGAGCCTGAACACCAGATCGCGCTAAAGTACTGTCGGAAATAGAAAACAACTGTTTTCTCACATTTATATCTACAATTTATGAAGTTAATGTGTGAAAGTGTGAAATATCTGTTAAACTAAGTTCGGCCTAACTATAGTCTCAGTGGTGGGGAGATAGGAAACGTTAAAAAAGGACTTTACTGAAGAGAGATTAGTGCAGAAATGAGCAATGCAGGGTTTTTTCTAAGTCCAAAGCGACTTATTTAGAACAGACCATGGCTTTATGCAAATTAGTGTGCGATGATATTGTATTACAAAGGACACTTTTTAAATGCCTATTTTGAAACTAAGCTTAGCTTAATTATAAACGATAGCAGTCGTAAAAAATACTAACTTTAATACTGAAGCTATTAAGGATGTAGCTACCATGGAGCCTCACTATCACTATAAAACGAAACAGGTAGGAGGGGTCGTCTCAAAAGCAAAACCAGGACGAGTGTCACAGATGGTGGTGTGGGTCGTACTGGGGGATAGGGATATCAGCTGAGATAAGATAATCCTTTAGGGAAAGTAAACTGGGGAAATTACGTCAAGTGCCGAATACTTTTTGCACGACTCTGTATGTAGTTTGGTAGATTATTTTTGTTTAGCAGACTGTCTTATATGTGGAGCTGTACCAAACTGATTCATTGTGGGACAGGCTGGCTTAGATCAAGGCAAGGTCTACATTTGACACATCGACTCAGTTCCAGTTCGGTGTTGTTCCTTGGACGACTTTCTTCAGCGATGAGTGACAAAGGGAAGTCCAGTGACTTAAAGAGGAAAGCAGAGGAAGATTCTGGGAGTGCTGAAAAAAAGGTCAAAGTCGAAGCAAGCAAAAAATCTGGTGATCTTCTAAGTGATGTCATAGAAAGTCGCAAATCTGTTTGTGAATCTGTTTGTAAGTTCAAATTCAACAAGAAAAGAGTGAGAGTTTTGTCTTCAGCTGAAGAGTTCCCTGACGACTGCGATGGTGTTGTGTATTGGATGTCTCGGGATCAGAGAGTACAAGGTGTGTATTATACCACTGTTTTAGAGAGAACAATGTGTGTATTGGTTGGCATTGTGTATTGGGTGTCCTTGATAAGAGGGAGTGAGTTAAACTTCAACATTACTTCTTATACCACTGTTTTAGAGAGAACATTATGTGTATTAGTTCGCATTGTGTATTGGGTGTCCTTGATAAGAGGGAGTGAGTTAAACTTCAACATTACTTCTTATACCACTGTTTTAGAGAGAACATTATGTGTATTAGTTCGCATTGTGTATTGGGTGTCCTTAAAAGAGTGAGTGAGTTAAACTTCAACATTACTTCTTATACCACTGTTTTAGAGAGAATCATGTGGATTGGTTGGCATTGTGTATTGGGTGTCCTTGATAAGAGGGAGTGAGTTAAACTTCAACATTACTTCTTATACCACTGTTTTAGAGAGAACATTATGTGGATTGGTTGGCATTGTGTATTGGGTGTCCTTGATAAGAGGGAGTGAGTTAAACTTCAACGTTACTTCTTATACCACTGTTTTAGAGAGAACATGTGGATTGGTTGGCATTGTGTATTGGGTGTCCTTGATAAGAGGGAGTGAGTTAAACTTCAACATTACTTCTTATCCCACTGTTTTAGAGAGAACATTATGTGTATTAGTTCGCATTGTGTATTGGGTGTCCTTGATAAGAGGGAGTGAGTTAAACTTCAACATTACTTCCTATACCACTGTTTTAGAGAGAACATGTGGATTGGTTGGCATTGTGTATTGGGTGTCCTTGATAAGAGTGAGTGAGTTAAACTTCAACATTACTTCTTATACCACTGTTTTAGAGAGAACGTTATGTGTATTAGTTCACATTGTGTATTGGGTGTCCTTGATAAGAGGGAGTGAGTTAAACTTCAACATTACTTCTTATACCACTGTTTTAGAGAGAACATTGTGTGGATTGGTTGGCATTGTGTATTGGATATCAAAAGACATGAGAGACATTAGATTAAGCTCTGTTGATATGTGCAAGTGTGAAATATATGTTAAACTAAGTTCGGCCTAACTACAGTCTCAGTGGCAGGGAGATAGGAAACGGGGAAAAAGGACTTTACTGAGGAGAGATTAGTCCAGAAATGAGCAATGTGGTATTTTTCTAAGTCCAAAACAACTTATTTGGAACAGACCATGGCTTTATGCAAATTAGTGTGCAATGATTTTGTATTACAAAGGACACTTTTTAAATGCCCATTTTGAAATTAAACGTACCTTCATTATAAACGATAGCCGACGTAAAAAGTAATAATTTTAATGCTGAAACTCTTAAGGATGTAGCTACCATAGAGTCTCACTATCACGGAGTCTCACTATCACTATAAAACGAAACAGGTAGGAGGGATCGTCTCAAAAGCAAAACCAGGTCGGGGTCGGGCTGGGGGATAGAGATATCAACTGAGACAAAGATAATCCTTTCGGGGAATTAAACTAGGGAAGCAAACAGCATGTCATAACGATTTGCAAATAATATCTAATCCTGTTGATCTTCGGGTGGTCATGCCACCTACAGTCAGCTCTCGTTAATCCGACACTCATTAATCCGACAATCACGTTAATCCGACAAAAAATTAGGGAACCATTTAAAACAGTGATAATTACTCTCGTTAATCCGACATTCTCGCATTCCGACTGCGACACACCAATCTAGCAGCTGATTATTGTAAATACAGTGTAAAAACATTCGTTAATCCGACAATCAACACAGCCGGTCGGATGATCCGACCGTATATCCGACCGTATACAAACAATCACACGTGAGTGATAATTAGCGTGTGCCTTACTGGCTGCTTGACAGCGGCGTCAGTGAACATCAAACTTGTTAATTAGGAACACAGGATAATTAATTGAGACGATTTAATCAAGAAATAACAGTGGAGCGAGCTGTATAAAATGTTTATGATACAACCAACATGAGTTTTCATCACAAGATATTGGTCACGAGTACACCACCTGCTAAGCGACCCCTTGTAGAAGTTACGCCATTGATCAAGAAAGAAATCTCCTTTTGAAGAAAGACAAACCCCAGACAACACAACAAGAAGTCATCACTTTTGCTGAGCAGAAGTTTGATGTGAAAATTGGACGATCAACCGTATCTGACATCCTGAAGCAGTCTGCTTAGTGGTTGAGCGTCTCTATGACTGATTCCAATGCTTCAAGCTATCTGAGGCCAAAACATCGTTGAACACTTTGCAAACATTTCTGACACACCACTTAGATGTGTTTGATGTTAATGACCATCAAAGTTATAAATTATATATGTTATGATAAACGCCTGAGTGTACATTAGACGTCCACATGTTATTATGGAATTAGTTGTATGGAAACTGTAACATCCGGGTCATAATGGCAGCTGATATGCGGTAAAAACAAACGTGAGTTTTGTGCCAATGTGGTCATGAAATAGATATGAAACTGTTCGCTTATGTGATTGTATATGTATGTTATGCGATCTATGAATGTTAATAAATGAAAACAAGTATGTATTGTTAGTATTTTTTATTTCTGTGAATATTTTTACATACGATGAAGATAACTAGATCTACCATTTCTGATATGCATGCAACAGTATGACGATCATGACATTTAGTAAACATTGATATTTTCACACAAATACATTAATCCGACATTTTCATTAATCCAACATTTTCGTTAATCCGACATATTTCTCTGCAACCACAAGTGTCGGATTAACGAGAGTTGACTGTATATATTTTGAGACATTTAATATGATCATACTCTTTTACATATCTCAACATAAACGTCATGAAAGAAAGACACTTAAGCTGTTAATCAATAGATGAGACATATTCAGCACACATGAAAAAGCATAAAATATCTTTGAGATGACCTCTTGTGCCTGTAGGCAGCACATGCATTTCATGCCAGGTGAGTCGACGGTCCGTCGTCATTCCTGGCTGAGCGTCCTAATTGCCATCCATAGTCTGATCTATTGTTTTCAGCAGCTATTCGTAATTTTTCTCTGTTTCGCCTGATTTCACAAGTAAACATGCTTTTCTTGATATCCTATTACGCATCCTACTGAACGCCCAGTTTGGCTGATGTGGGTTATTTCGACATATGCTATTTGCAATTGTGTAAATTTTAGGGATACAGAGAAACAGCCTAAAAACAGTTTTTTCTATTTCCAACAGTACTTTAATATCTATGCTCCTAAAGCTGGGGTGGTGGGGTAGCCTAGTGGTTAAAGTGTTTGCTCATTATGCCAAAGACTTGAGTTCTATTCCCCACATGGGTAGAATGTGTGAAGCCCATTGCTGGTGTACCCCGCGTGATATTGCGGAATGTTGCTTAAAGCGGCCTAAAACCATATTCAAAGACAGGTAAAGACAGGTAAAGTAGTGAAATGGTGAAGTGTACTGTGCAGTAAGATAGAGTAAGTTCTTTAATTACTGTACTGTACTATACAGTAACATAAAGTGTTTTCATTTCAGGAACTTTTTATTGCTTGTGAAGAATTTGGTACAAGGAATATGCAATATATATTTTTTTCTGCCTCTATTCTGTAAATTGTGTGTATTGTCGCGTAAAACTTTGCTTAAAAAATACAGTTAAAGCTACAGGGGCCATTCCAATTTCCATACAGAATATCAAGAAACTATATCAAATTAGACTACAGTATTTATGGGAAAGCAGAACTGGAACACAAAAATAAATATGCCCATATGCATGCTGCTTTTTCCGTGGATTATGTGAGAAAACGTTTGGCTCATGGTTATGTCTCTTCCACAGCTTAAGGTGTAGTTGTCGTTTCGTAAAGTATGGAAAAATAAATAGCCATGGTATCATATTAGGGCTGACATGAGCCTATTACTGTGTCTGGTACCTGGGTACCTGCAGTAAGGTGTTCATGGCTAGCATTGATTACAGTCAGTCATTGAATTTGATAAAAATATGTTAGTAATCTATTGATATTAATTATTACTACTACCAGATCATTTTTCTGTGGCTTTCTGTCTGATGAGGTGTTCATGGCCGGTGACTGGAAACTAATATATCAAATATACTCCTAGCTATGATCATCTAAAAGGTGTGTTTCCAGCAGAAATGGCCGTTCCAGTTCAGAGTGGAACAATGATGTATTCAAGATTTCAAAAAGATCTGGTTTACACTCAAACCTTGTTTCAAGTGAATTATCACATGACAGGTTGACTTGTATGAAAGATGTGATTTGGGGCTGCCGTTGGGGTATTGTGTGTGCATGTGTTATCCTCTGTTGCTAGACAATTGGGCCTTCCTGTATGCCCAGCGTCTGGCCTTGAAGATGGAGGTGCCGCTTCACGTCTGCTTCTGTCTGGTGCCTCGGTTTCTAGAGGCTACGATACGTCAGTTTGGCTTCATGCTCAAGGGCCTCCAGGAAGTGGAACAGGTAGGTGTCTACCACTCATGCAATTATCTCAGTTTCTTGTGAGTTAGTGAGTTATAAATGTCATCGTCTGCTGTTTGCAGCTACCTGTAAGCCTGTAAAAAGTACAAAGAGTGAGTGAGTAGAGTTTTAAGCAGCTTTCAGCAATAACAGCAATAAGCTCCTTACAGAAATATCACAGCAGGGAACTCCACAAATGGGTTTCATACCAGATATGAATTTTATTTTTTGCTGTTTCCATGGAAACATTACTTAGGCTGTGGCTATGAGGATGTCATCTTGTCCGGAGCAGATCTCCTAAGCTATACGTGCTAACTTCATCAAACCTGGTACACATATCAAGCATGATCCCTAGATGTGCCTTTTGGGGGTTAGACCCAGATATGAATTTTATTTTTTGCTGTTTCCATGGAAACATAACTTATGCTGTGGCTATGAGGATGTCATCTTGTTGCATTTCCATGGCAACAAGTTAGGCTTCAACTGAATTTGGTGGTAGTGCTCCTTTCTGGAGCAGATCTTAAAAACCTTCAATACTCTCCTTCCACTTTGCTGAATACACTCCAAAACATTTGACATAATCATAACTAGTAGACATATTCATAAAGAGCATTTTGCCGTTGAGGGGGATATTGATGACTTTGTCTTCTTGTTTTTGTTGTTCTCGACCAGTAAACAAATATTGCTCATGGCGAGGTCATAATGCTGGTACAAGTGTCCTAGGACGCTCTCAGCTAGTCACTTGTACGTGTACTGGGAGCCTGTCTTGCATACATGTTACTACTCTACTGATAAGCCTTAAGGAGGGATGCTATGAATTGCATCTGTTTGTGTTTCAGGAGTGTAAGACACTGAATATATCGTTTCACCTGCTGATCGGCTATGCTAAGGATGTCTTGCCAGACTTTGTGAAGAGCAACAATATTGGTGGAGTGGTCACTGACTTTTCTCCACTGCGTACACCGATGACCTGGGTCACTGATGTGAAAGAGAGGCTGCCTAAAGACATCCCAATGTGCCAGGTAAGTGTATCCTGCACTGAAGCAGCTGAACAAGCACCATTCTGTTTGGAAGGGATTATATTTTGTAATATCTTGGAAGCTAAAGTCTTTGACAGTGATTGACACTGTGATTTACAAGCGCATGCAGTTAACAATGTAAGGTATGACAGACCTGTATGTTTGCTGTTTTCTCACTCAGTGTCAAGAGACTTCATTTGTGAATGAATTTGTTTGAAGATTTTAGTTAAATATGGTTAAACTTAACAAAATTTGTGGTTTTATTCATTATACTGGAACATGGAAAGCATTGCAATACATATTGTTTAAAAAGCATATCGCAGTAGGGCTCTAACGATGCATCAAACTATCGATGGATTACTAATGTTGAGTCTCCGATAGCAATTAATCAATGGTAGAAACTAAAAATTATCGATGCATAGATATTATGTATGGCTATCGGTAGTTTAGTAATTGATTTCCGTTGATAAATGTGCAGGAAGTACCAGATTGTTCACTTTGATTGAGAGTTATCTACCCCTATTACCTCTTAAACAAACTTGATCTGGGTTTCAAGTTTCTTGTCAGTTATTGGGGCGGTGGGGTAGCCTAATGGTTAAAGCGTTGGGTTCGTCACGCCAAAGACCCGGGTTCAAATCCCCACATGGGTACAATGTGTGAAGCCCATTTCTGGTGTCCCCCGCCGTGATGTTGCTGGAATATTGCTAAAAGCGGCGTAAAACCAAACTCAGTCAGTCAGTCTTGTCAGTTATTAACCAGTTGGCTACCCCACTGCCCCTTTGAGAGACAGGAAGTAACCAAACTGTTCATCAGGTGTTCATGACTGTAATACATTGATATATTTTTCAGATTGATGCACACAATGTTGTGCCTTGTTGGGAGGCATCCCCAAAGCTAGAATATGGAGCTCGCACAATACGCAAAAAAAATCACTGACAAACTCCCAGAATTCCTTACTGCCTTTCCACCAGTCTGTAAACACCCTCATGATGCGAAAGTTAAATCTGAAGTAAGTTTTCATTATGTTTTTGTTGTCTTGGCCAATTTGACGAAAGAAAGACAACAAATAGTGGTACCAAAGCTGAAAAGTCTTGTCTTCGACAATGCATGCTCTTTGATTTTAACAATCTTTCAGGCACATCACAGTGAGCCAGCAACTAAATCTTTATTTGGTAATGGTTGTTTTATGTTGTTTGTTATAGGCAATTATGCAGCTTACCTGGAATTCTGCTAAACAATTTTCAATTTATCAATTTTGAAAAATTCTATATCAACATCAGATCAAAAGATATTCTTAAGAATTCTTTGGCCTTTATGTGTGAAATTGTATCAGTGACCATGCATATGTAATGGCTGTAACAGTTGAAGACATCGTGTTTGAAAAACAAATATGGCCACTGACAGCCATCTTTGCAAAATGTTAAAGCACATGTAGCAATAATCCAGCAATATATCATAGAACGGACTTCATATTTATTTGGTACAGAAACAAGGTTTTTATTGTGAAGATACAGCATGTGGTCTAGTGGATAGAGGGTCTGCTCAGAGTGCAGAAAGTTGGATGTTTGATCCCAATTGTACCAAAAGATGATATAGGATGGTACTTGTTGTTCACCTGCCTGGTACTAGGCCTTAAAAAACAACTAAAACTTAGTTTTTTTTGTACTCTTTTAACTATTACATATGAAAGATTTGTGGTTAGTCTTATGCGAAACACCAACTTCATTCTTAAAAAACTTGTGGTTAATTAATACTGAACGATTGAAAGTTGCAAGTAAGTCGCTTGCTTCACACACATACGTAACTCTGTCGCCAGAGCACTGCAGTGACGTCATATGAGGAAGGATTTTCAGTTAGTTGTATATAAAGTGTGTAGCAAGCTCGTCATTTTGATGATTTCTCTCGACATCACCGAAGACATGCCGAATCGTTGCGTTGTCGTCAATTGCTCCTAAGGGTTGGGCGATGGTGTCACCATGCACACATTTCCACAGGACCCCGCAGTTCGTGCTGAATGGGTTATGTTTGTGAGTGCGAAGCGAGCGTTGTGGAAGCCTGAAACGATATCTTACTTGTGTTTTAAAACTTATCCACCTCTCTTCTTCTTCTACGACCATGTGCCGCAGAGAAATGTTTGTTACAATTGTCACAATGTTTGAGCTTCGTAGAACCATTACGATTCGATTTATCTATATTGAAACAACAATCAAACTTTCTTAGAGACAAGCACACGTCCACACGACGTAGCGACAAGAAAGAGAATGACAGGCACAGGTAGTCACGTGATCATCTGAGCGAGCTGCACGCTTACAGAGATGATTGACAGGTGCTGTAGTCGGAGTGGGGGCAGAGGTCAGGGGGGGTCAGAGGCCAGTAAGATTTGATTCAACTTAGCCTACAGCACGTTTCCACACATGGTCGTAGAAGAAAAAGAGAGGTGCATACCGTGAGATAGGATAAGTATATAAATACACAATTTATAGTAAAATTTCAATTTTAAAATTAAAACAGATTAAAGTTATAGGAACAATGTCAGGCTATTACCTTGTTCAAGGAATGTATCCATGAATATCCACAAAAACGAGTGATATGCCATTCATCTGTAGCTGTTCCAAGTGATGTGTCTTTTAACAGTCAAATATACGAAAAAGTGATATATCGTTTCCGGTATTTCACATTGGTGTATAGTCTCATTGGTCACCCAAGATACCCCACCTGGAAACTTATAGCATAATGTCCGCCATTCTTTAAAAAAAAGTAATTTAGTTAGCCAATAATGAGCAATCAATCAATGTATTGGCGGTTAATCCTTTGAAAGAAGGACGTTATTTTTACGCAGAGACAGAGACACGACAGAGTGTATTCAGTATAGATTAGTAATTCTACATACATAAATACTACCTTTTGACAAATCCGCTGTGTAAGATAAAAGTAATTAATCAATCAGTGTGTTATCGGTTAATCTTTTCATCGATGTTTATAATGTTGAGTATTTACTCCAGACACAAGAAATGCCAAATGGGAACCTTTGTCGGGTAATCTAAGTGGTGTTACCACTAATTATACCTGTTATAAATTCATTAACTGACCATCAAGTGAATGATGACAAATAACATGTGTAGGTTTATACCACCTAACACAGGTTACAACAAGGGATTATTAATTGCTGTATTGCTTGCAATTTTAATTGCATGTGAAAACTTATGGGCCGACTCTGTTTTGAGAATACAAACAGAACTTCATTGTTGCATAAGAAATACATATAAGCATTTGCTGTGTGCTAAAACTGTATGTACCTATTTACCTAAGTAAATTTTCAGATTCTTCTAGCAATGGCAAATCAGGGTTGTTTAGTTTACGGATTCAAATAAATCAAATGTCAATTTTTAATATCATACGTAAAAGACGTCATATTTTTACATGACATGATTAAATATCGAGGTAAAAAAACACAGAAATGGGATCAAGTTGGATCAGTCATACCATCCAGGCATTAGAAAACCTGAAAAAGCCCACACTGCTTTGATACTTTATTACAATCAGACAAGAACTACCGGGGATATTTTCAAATAAATACACCTGATGGGCATCCACCCTTCTTAATGTCGCACTGTTTATGTTGAAGAAATTAACCGTAACCGTGATGAGCGAAGCTGATCATCGTTTTCGCTATCACTAGCATCTGGCTTGAACAAATAAGGCCTAGCGACACCAAGCGATTTTGACAGAATCGTCTATGAAAACAAGTTGTAACTCGGAAACTAGGCAAAGCAGGAGACAAAATTATATGACAGTAGATTGTGAGAACATACAGCTTTCATTTTTCAAAAACGTCACAATTTCAGGTTTATACAAACCTGTGAACAAGATAATTTACTCCCTGAAACGTACATGAATTCTGCATCGGCCCTCATATCTATTCCTCATATGACGTCACAGAGACGCGCCGCTCTGATTTGGTTGAAATTTCGTTCGTGGGTGAAAATTGTGCACTGTTGCCAAAAATCTCGATTGAAGTTAATTTAAGACTGAAATGAGTAGTTTTAATGACGGGGTTTCATTTATAACGATGTCAATTAGGGATTTATGTATTTGTACCCCCCTAGAGTATATGTGATCTTTAAGGCGATGAAAGAAGGGCTAGTGGGCTGGGGCTAGTCAGTATATTGTATCTGTGTGGGTTCTCCATTCTACACTGTGGGATGATGTCATAGACGGACAGTAGTCTTAAACAGGCACAAGTCAGGGCTAGAACACACAGAAAAATTATATATATATATATATATATATATATATATATATATATATATATATGTTATATATACACAAGTGACACACATGTAGGGCAGTAAGTTCAGTAATCTTGAATGTGACGTATAACCCATTTTACCCCACCATAACTCTATGACATATACCCCAATTACCATATCATAACTCTATGACATATACTCCATTTTACCCCACCATAACTCGGACGTATACTCCATTTTACCCCACCATAACTCTGACGTATACTCCATTTTACCCCACCATAACTCTGACATGTACCCCATTTTACCCTACCATAACTCTATGACATATACCCCATTTTACCCCACCATAACTCTATGACATATATATACCCCATTTTACCCTACCATAACTCTATGACATATACCCCATTGTATTTGTTTGTACCAGCTTCTAAATGCCACTGAGAAACACTATGCTACCCAATGTGTAACACGGATGGTTTATACTATCTGTTGTCAGCTAGTTAATTGGGAGGCAGCCTACGCCAGTCTGGAGGTGGACCGCTCTGTGAAGGAGGTGGACTGGGCGACTCCGGGAACCAAAGGGGGACTTAAGATGTTGGAATCTTTTTGTAAAGAGCGACTGAAATATTTCAATGCAGATCGCAACAATCCTAATAAAAATGCTCTCAGTAACCTGTCACCATGGATACATTTTGGTAAGTTCAAAACAAAGATTATCCGCAGGGGTGGAAATAACTCATTGCCCGACGTCCGAGTCCAATGTTTTTTTCTGTCGGGCCGGCAAATTTGTATATCATGCTGTACCGGTGTCCAGTTGATTTTCCAATGTTAAGTTGTGCTGTTTATTTAAGAAATCAACAAGAAAATTGGCTGGTATAGTGGACAAATTATCAGGGCAAGTGATTTTACATGTGCCACTGTACCGGAGTACATTTGCAACTTAAAGTTATTTCCACCCTTGATCCATAAATCATGTCTTGTTTCTAGTGGTACTAATGTGTGACCTGACTGTGATCGATCACATCTCAATTAAAGAGACAATATTCAACAAGTGAAGATCTGGATTAGAAAGGCTCTTTAGCCACCCATGCTTGTCGTAAGAGGCTACTAACAGGATCGGGTTTAAGTCAAGTTAACACACCTTTTTTTATGTTCTACCTTCATTAATGGCCAAATATTGAAATCAATTATAATATATGTTGAGAATAATAATGTCACAGTCAGCTAATGCATAAGACAAAAAAAATTGAAATAAGTGATCTCGATCAGCACGATATTGTAACACAAGCTCTGCCCAGTCTATTATCATCCAATCAGCACTCTGTGGTCAGGTGGACTTGGCTACTGTGTTTCACTATATTTTGTTTAGTTTATCAAAGCAAAAATAATTTGTCACCAATTTAAATTACATCAGGGCTCCAGATAACTTTTGGTGGTGCGGGTGTACTTACACCTCATATTGCAAGTGGAGGTGTACTGAGAATTTTGAAGGAGTACCGACATGTTTTTGTGGGAGCGAGTTGGTGATGTGGTTTGTTATTTTTGATATTAAACAACTTTTCAGCTATGAAACTTTATATATGTAAGACTTACAAAGGTATTTATGTGCGTACATGATACGCTTGAAATGTTATATTATGTTGTACTTCATTGATTTTTAGGCGTACATTACGCCTGTACGTCCCTTATCTGTATCCCTGTACATTACTTGCAGTTTATGTATTTTAGGACAAATCTCAGTGCAGAGGTGTATACTAACAGTAAAGCAATATCGTAGCAAGGGACAAGAGAGCGTGAACGCATTCATCGAGGAGGCAGTGGTGAGACGGCGAGCTTGCTGACAATTTCTGCTTCTACAACGAACATTATGATACCATTGAAGGTAAATAATGATAATGAGCAGCTGATTATGTAGGAAAAATGATCGAGTGGCGAAATCACTAATGTTAATCTCAAACCATAGTTCCCCACCTTCTTCCATAAGGACCCACTGAAAGTAAAATGGTTGTCTCTAACTGAAAAATTATGCAAATCCTGCATTTGTGTCTTGGAAACAATGAGTCCCCTGACTTGAGTGTTGTGTCTTGTAGGCGCGTACGACTGGGCAAAGACATCGCTGAAACTGCATGCTGGGGACAAGCGGCCATATTTGTACTCTCGCCAGCAGCTGGAAGATGGCAGGACTCACGACAAGCTCTGGAACGCTGCACAGGTAGATAATGATTCTTTGTAATTTGTATGTGTCATGTAGGTCTTCATAGATGTAGCATGAAAGGTAGCTCCACATAGGTCTACAAGCTAGGGATGTCACGATACATAAGTTTCATAAATCGATACGTATCACGATACCCATGTCATGATTGGATACGTATCACGATACCTATTTTCGTGGCATTATTGCGTAAATTTAGTTACGTTTTGAACATTAATATTTCATATTTTATAATTGTGCATGAAAAGATCAACATTTTTTATTCTCAGAGATTAAAAAGTTCTAATTTCCAATCTTTGTGCATGAAAAATAATCATTTATAACTCTCATAACATCAAAAAACATGATAGAATTGCAAAATGTAAATGATACATAAACATATTTAAACCGATACTTTCAAACCTAAATATCGATAGTTTTGAATGTGTCGATAATAGTATCGTCTTAGAAAAAGTATCGATGTATTGATGTATCGTGGCATCCCTACTACAAGCATATGCCGTGCCACAATACTTCACACAGGCATGCCGTAGCTGCAGACGCACAGAGCCAGTTCCTCAAAGTAATCACCACAAAACTGGAAGTTTATGCTACAGTATAAGAAATGCAGTGAATGTAGAACTACAATTCCTTTGTGATACATGACTCGCTTTGTGATAGAATCATTGTATCTCCGTTTCCTTAATATTGACTAAATATCTATGACTGCCATGCGAAACAAACCTTAGCACACAGTTTTACATGTACCTAAATCGTTTAGTGTGAATTCACAATGTCCTTCAGAGAGTGGTCAGATGTAACATATTATGTTTTATTTGGGAGTACGGTGTCTTAGAATTGTAGAAATTTTAGTACTTTGGGGGGTTGAGTCCCATCTGAGATTCGACCCCACTTTCTTGAACCTAATCGCCTAATCGCCAGTATCCAAAGTCAGCGATCTAGCCAATACAACAACCAAGGCATCAACAAGCTTAAACTCTAACAACTGGTAGTCTAGATTGCCATTGCAGAGGCCCAGATAAGCTGCGTATCCGGGTAAAATACGCATAGAAAATTTCCAATTACACATTGAAAAAATAATTGTTGCGTACCAATTACGCATTTAAAATGTTAGATATGCAAAAAGTTTAAAACAAATGCGTACGGAATATATTTATAAAAATCGCTTGCGTAATGAAAAAGACATCGATTGCTATCAAGTTGTACTGTTAGTATAGGACAAGTGTTGTACTGTCAGTATAGGATGAGTGATTTTTTTATGAAATCATTTTCATTATATTTCAGTTGGTTTTGATTAGGTATGACATGAGGTAAAACTCACCTATTTAGTAAATTTACTCAATGACATAATAAATGACTGAAATACGCACATATTTGAAAGCAGTGGGTAACGGAAAATGAAATACCCACTCAACATTCATAATACCCACTCCAAAAAAATACAGTGGGTACAGTACCCACATGAGCTAAATCTTATCTGGGGCTCTGGCCATTGTGATCCTCAAGTAACATGTGTTACATGTGATCACTTTCTGATAGGCATTGTGTGTTGATGCCTTTCAGACATGGGAAGATGTTGTGCAAAGTTTCACTATTCAGTGAGTGAGTGAGTTTAGCTTTACGCCGCACTCAGCAATATTCCAGCTATATGACGGCGGTCTGCAAATAAATGAGTCTGGACCAGACAATCCAGTGATCAACAGCATGAACATCAATCTACGCAGTTAGGAACTGATGACATGTGTCAAGCAAGTCAGCGAGCCTGACCACCCGATCCCGTTAGTCGCCTCTTACGACAAGCATGGGTTACTGAAGGTTCATTCTAACCTTGGTGGCTAAATAGGTTAGATTTAGATGATTTTGTGTGCTTGTGACTTGGTGCCTTACTCTGGGAGTCAACAGTGGAAAGTCAAGGGTAGAAGCTTCTTTGCTATTTAAGAGCAACATTAATATCTTGAAAATAATAACGTGTTTTAAAAATTGCTATTTGAAATTTCAGTTGCAGATGGTGAATGAGGGCAAGATGCATGGATTCCTGCGGATGTACTGGGCCAAGAAAATACTCGAATGGACCTGTTCTCCAGAGGATGCTCTCAAAGACGCCATTTTCCTCAACGACAAGTACAACCTAGATGGTCGCGATCCCAATGGTTATGTGGGTAAGTCAGTCCATTAATTAGATACTATACTTGTCAACAACAAAAGCAGTCATTAAGAAAATAAATATTTCAGGTACTGACAGGCATGCTCAGTGACACTAATAATACACTGATACTTATTAGGAAATAGTACACAGTATGTTTCAGTCAGTATTGATATGTTGAAGTCAAGAGTTATCTATATCATTATGATGAATATGGGTGGCAGTACATCAAATGTGTGGTTGTGTATAGAATGTAACTTGTATTGACACTGCAACTGTTGTATTGACACTGACACTGTTGTATTGACACTGTTGTATTGACACTGCAACTGTTGTATTGACACTGACACTGTTGTATTGACACTGTCACTGTTGTATTGACACTGACACTGTTGTATTGACACTGTCACTGTTGTATTGACACTGCAACTGTTGTGTTGACACTGTCACTGTTGTATTGACACTGTCATTGTTGTATTGACACTGCATCTGTTGTGTGGACACTGTCACTGTTGTATTAAGACTGTCACTCTTGTGTTGACAACCAGTGAAGATCCGAGCAACCCATGCTTGTAGTAAGAGGCGACTAACAGGATTGGGTGGTGAGGGTCGCTGACTTGGTTGACACATGTCATCATATCCCAATTGCGTAGATCGTTGCTCATGATGTTGATCACTGGCTTGTCAGGTCCAGACTCGATTATTTACAGACCACCGTCATATTGCTGGAATATTGCTGAGTGTGGCATAAAACTAAACTCACTCACTCACTGATGTTGTGTTGACACACACTCCGGCACAGCGATGACTTAACAAAACATCACTGCCACAGGCTAATTTGCATATCACGTGACCGGACTTTTCTCTTGTTTGTAATCAAACGCGCATATTCATAATAAGAAGAGACTAGACTCACGAAAGCTTTTCGGCGCTCTCTTCATAATGTTTTACATTGTTACATATATATTCTTCCACAACTGCGACAGTTAGGTCTATGACTGTACATATTTAGATATCAAACTGGCTGCATCGTTTGCTCTCCGTCGGCTTCGATGACAGCACGTGGAGCCGTACAACCTATGTAAACAAAGGATCGCTACGCAAATCGAAATAGTGTTACATGTTTTAGGATATTTTCTCAGTGAAACTAAACCATTCTATCAAAGATGTTTAATTAGATGTTTAGACTCGTCAAAAATAAAAGAGTTAAGAAATATGTACATTATATTGAATGGACGGTGCAAGATGTGACGAATCGTCACATTTTTCTTGCCTGTGGCAGAGGTACTATGCTGGCTGGCTGCATGAAACTCTGGGTAGGAGATTGGTGTTGACACTGTAACTGTCGTGTTCTGCAGGTTGCATGTGGTCCATCTGCGGCATCCACGACCAGGGCTGGAAGGAGCGTGAGGTGTTCGGCAAGATCCGTTACATGAACTACAAAGGCTGCACCAGGAAGTTTGATGTGCCTGCTTTTGAAAGGAAGTATAAAGTGAAGAAGATATGATCACGCTGTGTCGTTAACTCATTGACCCGATTCTCACATGAAACTGCAGTTTAAAAAAGTACTACAATGTCTGTTTGGTTGCTGCCATGGTGAAACTATTGAATACAGTGAGGCAAGTCAGGGCATATCTGTGATGTTATCACTGACAGGACGAGGTAGATTTACAGGCTGTAGTACAACACTCACTCACTCACTCACTCACTCACTCACTCACTCACTCACTCACTCACTCGGCTTTCTGATGTAGGCCATTTACATCAGAGAAGTTGTTAAGGAAAATGGTTGCTGGGCAACAAAAGCACTCTGTAGAAAGTTTATATTTGTTACCGTCTTGTTACTTTCCAATAGATCATGTTGTTGATGTTTCCATGTACTGTCAGTAGAACCTGAGTGACTGTGGTTAAATGTAATAAATTCTGTCCATTACTGGTGTGTAGAGGTTATTTAGATGAGGTGGCCAAAGTGCCCAGTTGTTGCCTGTCAGTGTTTGCAGATTTTGCCTTGCCATGCTTGAGTACTGACAGGATGTTGGTAGCAGCAAGATTCACACTCCGGCGCAGTGAAGACTTAGCATAACATCACTGCCACAGGCTAATTTGCATATCACGTGACCAGACTTTTCTCTCGTTTGTAAACAAACACATATTCATAATAAGAAGAGACTGGCCTTAAGCAAGCTTTATGAGCGCTCTTCACAATGTTTGATGTGGTTACATATATATATTCTTCCACAACTACGGCAGTAGGTTTATGACAGTACATAGTTTTAGGATATTTTCTCAGTGAAACTAAAACATTCTATCAAAGATGTTTAATTAGATGTGTAGACTCGTCAAAAATAAAAGAGTTAAGAAATATGTACAATATATTGAATGCACGGTGCAAGATGTGACGAATTGTCACATCTTTCTGGCGTGTCAGAGGTACTATGCTATACTATGGCTGGACGCATGGAACTCTGGGTAGGAGAGTGAGCAAGATTGTTGTCAACTGTTGCATAAACAACATTCACTCTACCTAACAGTGTGGATTCTGCAGTATTTTATAACCTAGAGGAACACTATTCATTGATACAAGCAATACAATTGATTATAATATCTTCTGATGTTTATTAAATAATGTCACATGTAATCATGGCATCTATGTCAACAATCCCTTTCATTGCTGCTAGTTTTACAATCAGGGTAAGATCTTCAATTTCATTACATATTCTAACATCTTATCCATACAATGTTCTCCATATAAGTGTCAAAGGCACAAACATCAACTTCCACCACATGTTAAACATGTTATGTGTTCAACGTTATCCAACATTGTCAAAAAACATAAGCATCGATTTCACTTCCTGCTAAACGTGTTGTATATACATATAACATTCTCCATATATTGTCGAGAGGATAAATATCAATGGCTATTGATACAGGAATATACGCCATAAATAGAAGTAACATGCTTCCTTGTATTAATTGTAGCTTGATATCCACAGTTTGTACTTTTGACAATGTATAGAAAATATTATATATATATGTATATATATATATGTATGTATGTATGTATGTATGTGTATTTGTTAGTGTGGCAAGTTGGACAATGTATAGATGTATAACATGAAATAGAACCTATCAATGTAAAGCATCATATATAAAACATGTAAAACATGAAGTGGAAATACAAATTTTGACAGTCGTTGTGAACATCTGAAGAAATTGCTGATGTGCCTTTGAGAAATATTCACTCACTCATGTCACAGCTCCTTCACTGCCACTGTTGACATCTCCTTCACTGCCGCCGTTGTTGACAGCACCTTCACTGCCACCGCTGTTGACATCTCCTTCACTGCCGCTGTTGACATCCCCTTCACTGCCGCCGTTGTTGACAGCACCTTCACTGCCACCGCTGTTGACATCTCCTTCACTGCCGCCGTTGTTGACATCCCCTTCACTGCCGCTGTTGTTGACATCTCCTTCACTGCCGCCGTTGTTGACAGCACCTTCACTGCCACCGCTGTTGACATCTCCTTCACTGCCACCGCTGTTGACATCCCCTTCACTGCCGCTGTTGTTGACATCTCCTTCACTGCCGCCGTTGTTGACAGCACCTTCACTGCCACCGCTGTTGACAGCACCTTCACTGCCGCTGTTGTTGACAGCACCTTCACTGCCGCTGTTGTTGACAGCACCTTCACTGCCACCGTTGTTGACAGCACCTTCACTGCCACCGCTGTTGATATTAGTCCTCTCAGCGTTGTTGTTTGGGCCTTAGTTTTTCAAAGGCAATACATGTATTCCTTGTAAGGATCCATCCATTGAACTCCAAGGCATATCTACCTCATTTTATATTAAACATATATCTCTCTATCTGATGCTGTGTTTGGTTTGTTGATTACTTGTACAGGGTCAGGGATTGGTTTCCAGTATTTCAGAGACTGCCTACACTGCCACAGGAAAGGGTCATATTACAGTACCCATATTTTTTTTATTGTTTTATTTGTTACATCAAGCATTTTTAGAAACAGAAAAAAACACACCAATAATTTCAAGTTACAGAAAAAGTGAATGACCCAAAGACCAAAATTTACTGAATCTGTATAGACTCCCACTCTTAAGTGCTGTACATTTGGAGGTGGAATAACACTTCCTTCCTTCATTCTTGAACATCTGGAGCAATTTTATTTGCTTGGTATCTGTATGTAAAACCCCCCAACTTTTTGCAAAGAATCTTTTCCAAGTGTCTTTTTATATCAAATAAAGCAACACTCAAAAAAGTTTAAAACTTTAAGACTAAGATTATTTAATCTTCATGTTGATATACAGTGGAAACCTGATCAGTAAAATTTCAAGGGACTCGCCAAAATTGTTTACTTATCAGGTATTTTACTTATCCAAACTTATAAAAACCTGCAAGTGACAACCATATGCATGTATATGTATGCATATGTAACAATGAACAACTTATCAGGGCTGGCCTCCAGTTGTCAGTGTATTGTCAACTGCATGACGCCAGCGAGCTGTAAGTAGGATGTTTGTTTGACTGGAGACTGACACGACTGCCCCTCATGTCGGATTATGTGGTGATAGCTAATTTAGTTATCCAGTATCTTTTGTTAAAGGTCACATGCAACGTAAAACACAACTTTGAAGATTCTGATACCTTTCGGTATGGACTAACCAAAACAAATCATCAAAAATGCAAATTCAACTTATAAAGTTGAAAAATAACGCGATGAAAAAAAACGCGCGAAATCGGAGTTAAAACGATTCACTAATTTTCCCCAGACTTTTCGGGGGGAAAACTGGTTTCAACAGCTAGGCTGCGCTCATAGCACGTGCGCAGTGAAATAGGTTCTCGCAACTTGGATGCGGGCTGTCCGGTGAATACTCGGTGAAGGCTTTGGTGTGAGCTATTTTCCTAATGTTTTGTTGATATCTCACAGGCGCGAGCTTTTTATATGTTATGACAGTAAATAAACTGTTTATATAATTTCATTTGTCTATTTCACCACACGTTCTTCTTACCGAGTCACTTTCTCAGTTCGATACTTAAAAGCAATGTCATTATTTAGCGTTGACACAATTTCTAACTGTGATATAGATATGTCCCTGTCACAGACAAAACTCAATGTCTTGTTTTATTGACACCTGTGTGTCTGCCTGCCTGTCTGCTAATGACAATATTTAATACACAGCTGCTATCACTGACCACATGTAATTTGAACTTAACACCAATCAGGGTATACACCATAAACAAAATGCATTGATTTATGGCCCGAGTTCGGTCTCTGTTACATTATGTAATTACACAGACAGGCAGGTGTGATACTTGAACACATGACATGTTATGATGTCTGTTGATTGCAAAACGTTATACACAAAAAATGAGCATGTATTTACAAAACCCAACATCTCTATATATACACACACAATGAGCCGTGAGGGCGGCATCTGCTAATGAACCAGCCGTTACACTTGAGTGCACACCCACCCGCCCTGACTGGGTTCGGTATCCCGGCTGCTTCGTTTCTTGGGAAGTAAACCCAAGTACCCAATATTGCACTTTTGATTTGCGATTGTACGCTTATAATTTTGTTTATATGTTTTTTCATAACCAGCAATGTATATTATATGTCATGAATAAGTGATAATTGTGTTTTAATTATGTTTGTTTTTTTGGTTGCATGTGACCTTCAAGTAATTTACTTCCAGGGACCGTGAGAGACGTTTAGTTGAGCGGTATTGTTTACTTATCCGAGTTTCGTTAACCAGACTCTTATAGTGATAATTAATGAAGAAATTTGCCGGGACCAAAGAAAAGTGTTTACTTATCCGGTCTGTTTAGTTAAGCGGTTTTCACTTAGGCGGTTTCCACTGTATTTGATATCCACACATCTTGGTTGAGATTTTCTATTTAACAGTCACAAAGATTCTGTGGTTTTGTTGCTTTAGATATCCATACATTAGCAGGTCAAAACGCTGTGGGAAAAAGACGTGAAACAAAGGATGATGATGATGATACATTATGATCATGTTTTATCTGTGGTTGAGATCCACGGTTCAGCGTCTGTCAGTTCCATCCAGCCACTTCTGTCTGTGAGTGAGTGAGTGAGTTTAGTTTTACGCAACACTCAGCAAATTTCCAGCTATATGGCGGCGGTCAGTAAATAATCGAGTCAGGACCAGACAATCCAGTGATCAACAACATGAGCATTGATCTGCGCAATTGGGAACCGATGACGTGTCAACCAAGTCAGCGACCACCCGATCCCGTTAGACTTCTGTCTGTAATCACACATACCACAGACACAAAGTAGTGATATATTCTCATTTATTCCCTCCACTGAAAGCTCAGATGTTACATTTTGGCTACATGTTACGACAATATGAGTAAAGCTACACCAAAATATTTTTGTTTTACAGACGAGGTTAGCTTATACAGAATACTAAACAGTAGTTTCTTAAAATATGTTTATCAAATGGTATTGCTCAGATTACATTTAACAGAGTATTATTTCTGAGCAAAATTAATTCAAATTCAGCATACATCTTATTGTTTTGTTTTCTGGCTCTTACACTGACAAAAATGATGTAAAACAAGAGACTTGATAGTTTGAAGTGTAACATTTATTTGTTCAGAAACATCACTCGCAATGATAACACGGCAACAGAAACTGCCTGCAGCGCCCACAGCTGTAGTACTTTCTGTAGTTTCATATCTCCGTGACAACAGATGAGGAACTAAGTTATTTACATGTTGGTGATTCACTTTCTGATATACTTCAGCTAATGTCTCTCCGTTCACATATATTACTTGACAACACAAACATCAAATTCTTAAAATACTCAATTAAAATTATGGAAAATATATTTAGTATTATTTACTATATTAGCTGTAGTAAGCACCTTAGGGTTAGCAAATGACCTTGGGGTGCATATAAAAACCATATAAATGAAAAACATGTATTGTCAGAGATCAGGGTAGTTAAACAACATTTCAAACAACGATGAAATCAAAAGTTTGATAACAATTTACTAGGCAATAATAATATACACTGGGCAACTTTTTTTTATGGGAGCCACGGATTACCTCGCGGTATCGCGAAGAGCGTTATTGCAAGGGATGACTGTACCTCTATCACTTTTGTAACAAACAGTTGTAGTTCTGCTCAAGGAAATATTGACTGCCACTGATGATCATGGTAGGGGGGTGTTCATAAAGATTACTTGGATTGTTTACAAGTTGGTCTTGAGGTGCTTATTGGAGCAGGGTGCGGAATATAGCCAATGTGGTTAAACATAAGGATTTTCTGCTTTAGTGTAATGGACATCTGTGCCAATGCACAATGCCATTTCTACAAGAACTAACAGACATTATATTGCATCAATGATGCTGAATCATGATGACGTAGATGGAGATAATGGGGGAATATTTACTACAAAAACAGTCTTAAAAAATATAACAGTAAATACTTTTGAGGAATCCAGAAAGACACAGTATTAACAGGCAAAGTACGATTCACTGGCAAGATAAACAGTATATACGACAACTGAATTAGACAATATACAAAATACTGGGGCAAAATAAATTGTTTATCTCACAGGGTTATAAATACAAGTTCTACTGTCTGAGGTGTATTGAAATACTACTGTGTACAAAGATTTCTCCATGTTCCGAGGAAGGTATTGGCAAAGCGTTGTCCATGACTTGGCCTGATGCAAGCTGGCACACACTGATGAGATTGTCATCTGAGTCTGGCCAGTATACATACTGAGACACAGGATGATGATGATGATGATGATGGGAAGTCTACTTGGCCAGAGGAATACTTGGGTAGTGGCATCAACAAGACAATAACTAAAATTTCTGGAAATATCTGGATTTTATTTACAGATATTGACATCTAAAAAAATCTCTGGCTCGTGTCACATGTCTTGAAAACTGCACTATTCACCTGGCAGAGTGGTCCAAAAAACTTGCACATATCAGGTTAAGAATTGTGGTTCTGTCAAAAACACAAAATACTGAACAAACACATTGAATTCTTATATCAGGTGTAAAGCCAAGGATGTTGACACTGTCACAAGATGTTATTTTAGTGTATGGTTCTGATGAACATACAACAGAACATTTAGAGGATAATAAATTACAAGGAGGTTTCAACGTGTCATTATTAAAAACACAATATTAAGGTCAGTGATTGAAGATATTGGCACATTAATCACACTTCTGCTGGTATAACAATATTCTGCCCTGGAGCAGAGTACATAGCACCGTAAGCAGGTAATGTGCCTCGATATAAGTGTCATATACGGTAAGCCGACTATTACTTATTACTAGTACATTTCTGCCCTATTGAGACTCTCTCTCTCTCACTCACACCCAGTGAGCGTATAGATGTATTACAATCAAAATACTCATAAGGCAGGCTAGAGGATTTGGGCCCTAAAATGATGACTAAAATATAGACTCTCTATGGACTTGGAAGAGTCAGCCTTGCCATGACATAATACTGGATTTTCTGCTCTATTCACTGATACGATTGCAAAGGACATGCCAAAAGTCCAAATGACACCTGTCAAATTCTGTCATGTGGATATCTAGAGTACACATAGTCTACATCCGAAACCATCCATGTGGTAACTGACAAAATGGCTGTCAGGCAGTGTCTTTGGACAAATCTTACTGCATCAGCAACAGACTGACACCTCGTAAGGATAGGGTGTGCCAAGTCACATGATAAGAAAGTAACTGTCACAGAAGATGTCACTGGCCTGAACATGGCGTACAAAGACTAACACTGAGCGTGGATGAGACGATCAGCTGATCATCGTACTCCAAGGAAACCCTGGATATATAGGGTTCATTAGGTCATTAGCCAAACTGATGGCCATACAAAAAGGGAAACAGGACAAAGCCTCTACTACAGACACACTGTAGGCACCTGACACTAGATAGACAGATTGGTTGACAACACAGTTGTCAGCTGATAATACTAATAACCTATGTTGTTTGTCGCCAATAAATATTTAAAGGCCCCGGGGACAAAATAAGGCACGGGGGTATACAAGGATCTGGAAGGGATGGTGGAGAGGTACAAACATCAGCAGTATATAATGGATGTGGAAACGATGGGGATGAGATTGTTGTGCTGCATCTAATGTAAGTCTGTGGGAAGGAAGGGATGGTGGAGAGGTACAAACATCAGCAGTATATAATGGATGGGGAAACGATGGGGATGAGATTGTTGTGCTGCATCTAGTGTAAGTCTGTGGGAAGGAAGGGATGGTGGAGAGGTACAAACATCAGCAGTATATAATGGATGGGGATACGATGGGGATGAGATTGTTGTGCTGCATCTAGTGTAAGTCTGTGGGAAGGAAGGGATGGTGGAGAGGTACAAACATCAGCAGTATATAAAGGATGTGGATACGATGGGGATGAGATTGTTGTGCTGCATCTAGTGTAAGTCTGTGGAAAGGAAGGGAGTAACACCAGTACTGATACGATATACAGTAAACTGTGGTTGTAGCAAACTCAAAGGGACAACTAAATTAAATTTGTTATTACCAGTTTATAGGCATTTCAACTAAAATATACAGCAAGTGGCTGTTTGTTATCAGGGTGTTTGATATGAACATAGTGTACTGGCTTTTTGTCTCGCCAAACAATTGTTTGGCCTGATCTTTATGTGATGATTAGACATGATCGATTAATCGTTCCAACCATCAACATAAGATCCTGAAAATGTTAAATTGGTCATCAGTCATTTCAGCACTAATTTTGAATGGCCATAGATCCATACCTTATCAGCCTACAGTTGCAGCACTGAGATCTGTGAAACAGGCCCTATGGTATTGCAAATATTTAGATAACACAGGGTCAACCAAGGCACATCAGCAGTAGGCAGTAGGGCTGACAGGATGGGTGATGGGGGACAGGGTGGGGGACTCAGGAGGGTGGGGGATGGGAGATTATGTGGAGCAACAAGGATACGCCTGATGGTGGAATATATAGAATCATGGTTACATGTAGGGGATAGGTGGGCCAGAAATTTTGAAAACATAAATTTATTTCAGGCCCAAATAGTTAAATTTGTAAAAAACCCTAGCAGTTTAACATTAATTTCATGACCCTCCCTAAACACTGTCCATTTTGTTCATGACCCTCATCTCATGTCACATGACACATTCCTAATGGTCAGGTACATGCTGGACAGGATGGTGTACAGGTCAATAAGGCTGGTGTACATGTCACCTAGGTTGTCTGGTGTGCATGTCACCTAGGTTGTCTGGTGCACTGGTAGATTCAGCAAAATGGGTACACATGTAAGAAATATAATACTTTCCTGTCAGACAGATTAGAACCAATTTGATAAGGCAAAATAGGCACAGAAGTGGGTAACTGTAAAACGGTTTGGGACAAGTTGTAAGAAAATAGCACGACTAAGGCACAATAACGGGCATAACAATAATTTGACTCAACAACATGAAATCCTATACCATAGATAATAACACAGGACAATGGTTCAACATGTAAATATCACGCAACAGATTGTTCATTGACTGGTATTCTAGAAGTAATGAAAGATACAACTGGATAGAACAGTGAAAGAATCTACGTCGAAATGACCCTTGATGAAAGTTGTCTGCTTCAGTAACAGATGGAGAGCTTTCCATTTTCATTAATTATTTCATTTGTTGGTTTACAAAAAATTTGGCCTAAAATTCAGTGGAAAATGTCAGAAAAAAATAACAAAAGCAGTTTTCAGTTTTTAAATTTGTACTGTTACAGCTGTATCAGCAAGGTATTAGAAGATATTTTTTGATGGAGGCATTATTTTTCACCATACACTTGAGAACAGTTGAGATTAAATCTTGTGTTGTTTTTTCTTCCTGTTTCATCCAACTGTAAAACAGAGTTGGCTCAAAAGATTTTGTCAGAAGTCATTTTAATTTAAGTTTTTTTTGTAATGGTTGGTCTCAAAAACCAACTGAAAATACAATGCCTGACAAAATCTGCAAGTAAATAAATAAATGCAAAATAACTCAGTTTTAAGACTGGTTATAAAGACCTATTCATGTTCTCTAAAGTCCTTATTATATAGTACTGGATTAATTTGTGACATTTATTAGGAATGGAGGGTTCGTAGAGATCTAGTCATGTATATCATAAATATCATTGATCTAATCATATACATGTATATTTAATAAATGTCATTAAGTTCAACAATTGTCTAAAAATGTAAATATAATTATTGTACACAATTATTTCATACACCCAAATAATTTGTCATAAAGTGACAATCTTCCTTCAAAACCTAAAAAATATGAATATATAAATACAATGTATTACTCAATAATAATATAAAATACATGGTTTTAAAATAAATGTACAATGTAAAAGTGACACAATATATATTGGTATATACACAGATATAACACAGAGCTTTTTCAACAAACAATATATGTAGGTGTACAATAATATTTACACTAATTCTACATGTGGGTGTGAACATTCAGCTGAGCACCTCGGGGTGCCAAGATAGGGCTTCACCAATACTCATGATGGAACCAAACCAGGTTCTACAGTGTAGTGAGCTAACACTTGGACCACTGGACTACCACCCGACCTGAAACACAAACTGGGGACACACTATTATAAAGTTGACTTAAGGATCTCGAGGTTTGACTGGTTGTGAAATAGAAATCAGATTGTGCTGCTCGATATCTATTTTTGTAAATAATTCATTCGGGAATCGGTTTACTGTTGTGAACCTTCAAGAATTCAACCAAGTGTTATTTTATTAAAATCGTCACCAACTGAATCACTGTTTACACATTAACATGATTTCAATCAGCACCCTGTTTCTAGGCCGGGGTACAGCCATGGAAGATAATATAATATGTTTAATGAAAGCGCCACTCACTCATTCATCAATCTACATTTGATCTAATCTACAGTGTGACTACCTTTACTTTTTACACTCAGTGGGTTTACTTCAACACTATCATAACAAAATGGAACACAAAGTCTTTGGTGTTAGTGAACATAAGTGGCATGGGTTGGTGAGTTGAATGTTTTAAGTGGGATGTCTATCTGACTGAGGAAAACAACTGATAAAAGCTGTTAGACAAACATGATTCAACAGGATATGACATTTCCCCACAGTTTGGATCAATTCAGAAATGGAATTTGGCTACTTACAACCCACTTCAAACTTTGTTTTTCCAAATCTGATATTTCCCTTGCATATGTCACATGTAAGTGGTACAGCTACTACTTGTTAGCTAACACGAAGAGAGGACCCTCCCTGTAACTAAGCTAGCCTCACCGGTGATGTTTATATGGCACTGCCTTTACTATTATGATGTCACACTGATGATTATGATGAACAAACTATAATGTTGTACAGAAAAGGCCAAATCTAAAACTCTCTGCTATTCCAAAAACTTGAAATACACTCTCTCTTTTGCTTTCTATTGTGTTTTCTACCAAAAATGTATTTTCATTTTAAACTTTACATTCACAGTAATTGTGCACTTTGTAATTTATCATAATTTATACATATCCTGATTTCAGTAGCCAACCAACCATTAAAAACAGCTATATCAATCAGAGATGGTTACTGTGATTTGAAACTTCTGATTGACCAATCAGAATTGAAACAAATACGAATTCCTGGCAGAATCAGGTTTAACACCATGTTACAGAAACTATATATCCATCATACCACGTCAGGTCCATGTTGGATTAAAGCCAAAGTGATGCATATCTTAGGCATTACTTTAGTGAAACTCATGAGTGGGTATATAATGCTACAAATCAAACAACATGAATATGGGATTCAAACCCATGATCACAGATTCCTGGTACAACAAAGGGACACAATTGTGTGAACTAATGTGTCTGAAATGCCTGGGTACTCAAGTGCCACTACATTCATGCTTGATAGCAATTAGCATCTCTTGCTGAAGAAAATGAATTTCTTTATCATTCTTCAGCTCAAAACTAAACCAAACAGTATGACATATATCTTTTGCAGTAGCAAAACTTTGTAATATAGTTCAAATGTCTGGGTACTCAAGTGCCACTACATTCATGCTTGATAGCAATTAGCATCTCTTGCTGAAGAAAATGAATTTCTTTATCATTCTTCAGCTCAAAACTAAACCAAACAGTATGACATATATCTTTTGCAGTAGCAAAACTTTGTAATATAGTTCAAATGTCTGTGTGTATAAGGCATTTGAAGCATGGACTGAGAGTTAATCTTACAAAGGTGACGTTTTGTTTGACATTTTAGTGTTGAAATTACAGAACCTCAACACACAACTGGGTTTTTAATGTGGAAACAGACATAACATGTTGTCATGACGACAAACTGGCTTCCTGACATGTTTTTTTACATCCTACATATTGCCAATCAAAAAGCCATATTTTATATCAAGTACGAATATTTATGTTTGTAGGGTTAAGTATCAGTTTAGTGTTTCAAAAATGCACTAAAGAAATGACAGCTGAATTTACACTCTGAAGAAATAAAGCCAGGGCTGTCGTATATGGCAGCTACAACCCCGTTTACACGAAGCTGTAGTTGTCGATGAAGACGCCAGACTGATCCCTCCCAGGGCTGGTGTCACGCTTGCTGCCAGACTTGATGAGTCGCTTGTTGTACATGCTACCCCCGGGGTAGAGGCGGGGCCCCCTGGCGCTGTGACTGTGGCCGTGAACAGGGACCTGGAAATAACCCCAGAAAGGTATACTTGAGAGTAGCATTACATAACAGGACATAGACACTTGTAGACAAACAGAAACATTTTCAGGGAAAATCTAGACATGCATAAAAATTTCTAAGGTAACAATGAATAGTTTAAATGATAATTTCTTAAAAATCTAAATTTACCTCTAACAAACTTTTGTCTGTACTGTCTAGATTGGCCTCATTAAACTGACTGACTGAGTTTGGTTTTACGCCGCTTTTAGCAATATTCCAGCAACATCACGGCGGGGGACACCAGAAATGGGCTTCACGCATTGTGCCCATGTGGGGATTCGAACCCGGGTCTTCAGCGTGACGCTTTAACCATTAGGCTACCCCACCGCCCCGGCCTCTTTAAAGGATAGAATCACTATACATCCATGGGCTTAGACATTAGGCTTCAGTCCTGCCTTCTAGGCTAGGGAAAACCCAGTCACAGTTAAAACATTGAAAAACGTTACTGTAACTAGACTCCTCACTGCTCATGCTCAGATATATTACAGTCGTTAATAATAACCTCCATTAATCGGACAAGGCCAATGATGCAAATGTGTGTTACGTCAATAATGAAAAAGACAAGTTATTGTCTGCCCTTGCCATTACAGAGTTCTCTCCTTTTCCGGGTACTCGATCACTAGAAATAGGACTCGATTCCAGCTGTACCCGACCCGGATTCGAGTACCCGAGTACCCGTCCCAGCCCTACCCTGAAGTACCTATGCATTGTAATACTTTGTGCCACAGTTGTAGGCCTGTTTTGTGAATGTATGTGTATATAAATGTACTGTAATTGTTGTTTGTTTATGCTCCTGTCAGCCACAAACCGTTAATCCTCACCTACAGAAGTACTGAATATGCCAATTGCATGTGCATGAAGGCTTATCACTCTACATAAAGGACTGCAGTAGCCTGCCTGCAGTGAAGTTCATCAGTTATTATTTATATAGTTTGCAGTTATAATCTACTCTATTTTTGTGAATGGTTCGTTTTAATTATCAATATCCTGGTGTGTCAGGCTGTGACTCCAATATGTCTGTATGTGTCTATATTTGAGTATGTCTCTCTGTGTCTGCTTACATGTGTCTATGTTTGAGTGTGTCTGTGTGTCTCTCTGTGTCTGTGTCTGCTTGCATGTGTCTATGTTTGAGTGTGTCTGTGTATCTCTGTGTGTCTGTGTCTGCTTGCATGTGTCTATGTTTGAGTTTGTCTGTGTGTCTCTCTGTCTGTGTTTGCTTGCATGTGTCTATGTTTGAGTGTCTGTGTCTGCTTGCATGTGTCTATGTTTGAGTGTGTCTGTGTGTCTCTCTGTGTCTGTCTGTCTGTGTTTGCTTGCATGTGTCTATGTTTGAGTGTCTGTGTCTGCTTGCATGTGTCTATGTTTGAGTGTGTCTGTGTGTCTCTCTGTGTCTGTGTCTGCTTGCATGTGTCTATGTTTGAGTGTGTCTGTGTGTCTCTCTCTGTCTGTCTGTCTGTGTCTGCTTGCATGTGTCTATGTTTGAGTTTGTCTGTGTGTCTCTCTGTCTGTGTTTGCTTGCATGTGTCTATGTTTGAGTGTCTGTGTCTGCTTGCATGTGTCTATGTTTGAGTGTGTCTGTGTGTCTCTCTGTGTCTGTCTGTCTGTGTTTGCTTGCATGTGTCTATGTTTGAGTGTCTGTGTCTGCTTGCATGTGTCTATGTTTGAGTGTGTCTGTGTGTCTCTCTGTGTCTGTGTCTGCTTGCATGTGTCTATGTTTGAGTGTGTCTGTGTGTCTCTCTCTGTGTCTGTCTGTCTGTGTCTGCTTGCATGTGTCTATGTTTGAGTTTGTCTGTGTGTCTCTCTGTCTGTGTCTGCTTGCATGTGTCTATGTTTGAGTGTGTCTGTGTGTCTCTCTGTGTCTGTGTCTGCTTGCATGTGTCTATGTTTGAGTGTGTCTGTGTGTCTCTCTCTGTCTGTCTGTCTGTGTCTGCTTGCATGTGTCTATGTTTGAGTGTGTCTGTGTGTCTCTCTCTGTCTGTCTGTCTGTGTCTGCTTGTATGTGTCTATGTTTGAGTTTGTCTGTGTGTCTCTCTGTCTGTGTCTGCTTGCATGTGTCTATGTTTGAGTGTGTCTGTGTGTCTCTCTGTGTCTGTGTCTGCTTGCATGTGTCTATGTTTGAGTCTGTGTGTCTCTCTCTGTCTGTCTGTCTGTGTCTGCTTGCACTTGCATGTGTCTATGTTTGAGTGTGTCTGTGTGTCTCTCTGTCTGTCTGTCTGTGTCTGCTTGCATGTGTTTATGTTTGAGTGTGTCTGTGTGTCTCTCTGTGTCTGTCTGTCTGTGTCTGCTTGTATGTGTCTATGTTTGAGTGTGTGTCTGTGTCTCTGTGTCTGTCTGTCTGTCTGTGTTTGCTTGCATGTGTCTATGTTTGAGTGTCTGTGTCTGCTTGCATGTGTCTATGTTTGAGTGTGTCTGTGTCTCTCTGTGTCTGTGTCTGCTTGCATGTGTCTATGTTTGAGTGTGTCTGTGTGTCTCTCTGTGTCTGTCTGTCTGTGTCTGCTTGTATGTGTCTATGTTTGAGTGTGTCTGTGTGTCTCTCTGTGTCTGTCTGTCTGTGTTTGCTTGCATGTGTCTATGTTTGGGTGTCTGTGTCTGCTTGCATGTGTCTATGTTTGAGTGTGTCTGTGTGTCTCTCTGTGTCTGTCTGTCTGTGTCTGCTTGCATGTGTCTGTGTGTCTCTCTGTGTCTGTGTCTGCTTGCATGTGTCTATGTTTGAGTGTGTCTGTGTGTCTCTCTGTGTCTGTCTGTCTGTGTCTGCTTGCATGTGTCTATGTTTGAGTGTCTGTGTCTGCTTGCATGTGTCTATGTTTGAGTGTGTCTGTGTGTCTCTCTGTGTCTGTCTGTGTCTGCTTGCATGTGTCTATGTTTGAGTGTCTGTGTCTGCTTGCATGTGTCTATGTTTGAGTGTGTCTGTGTGTCTCTCTGTGTCTGTGTCTGCTTGCATGTGTCTATGTTTGAGTGTGTCTGTGTGTCTCTCTGTGTCTGTCTGTCTGTGTTTGCTTGCATGTGTCTATGTTTGAGTGTGTATGTGTGTCTCTCTGTGTCTGTCTGTCTGTGTTTGCTTGCATGTGTCTATGTTTGAATGTCTGTGTCTGCTTGCATGTGTCTATGTTTGAGTGTGTCTGTGTGTCTCTCTGTGTCTGTCTGTCTGTGTCTGCTTGCATGTGTCTATGTTTGAGTGTGTCTGTGTGTCTCTCTGTGTCTGTCTGTCTGTGTTTGCTTGCATGTGTCTATGTTTGAGTGTCTGTGTCTGCTTGCATGTGTCTATGTTTGAGTGTGTCTGTGTGTCTCTCTGTGTCTGTCTGTCTGTGTCTGCTTGCATGTGTCTATGTTTGAGTGTGTCTGTGTGTCTCTCTGTGTCTGTCTGTCTGTGTTTGCTTGCATGTGTCTATGTTTGAGTGTGTCTGTGTGTCTCTCTGTGTCTGTCTGTCTGTGTCTGCTTGTATGTGTCTATGTTTGAGTGTGTCTGTGTGTCTCTCTGTGTCTGTCTGTCTGTGTTTGCTTGCATGTGTCTATGTTTGGGTGTCTGTGTCTGCTTGCATGTGTCTATGTTTGAGTGTGTCTGTGTGTCTCTGTCTGTCTGTGTCTGCTTGCATGTGTCTATGTTTGAGTTTGTCTGTGTGTCTCTCTGTCTGTGTTTGCTTGCATGTGTCTATGTTTGAGTGTCTGTGTCTGCTTGCATGTGTCTATGTTTGAGTGTGTCTGTGTGTCTCTCTGTGTCTGTGTCTGCTTGCATGTGTCTATGTTTGAGTGTGTCTGTGTGTCTCTCTCTGTCTGTCTGTCTGTGTCTGCTTGCATGTGTCTATGTTTGAGTGTGTCTGTGTGTCTCTCTGTGTCTGTCTGTCTGTGTTTGCTTGCATGTGTCTATGTTTGAGTGTCTGTGTCTGCTTGCATGTGTCTATGTTTGAGTGTCTGTGTGTCTCTCTGTGTCTGTGTCTGCTTGCATGTGTTTATGTTTGAGTGTGTCTGTGTGTCTCTCTGTGTCTGTCTGTCTGTGTCTGCTTGTATGTGTCTATGTTTGAGTGTGTCTGTGTGTCTCTCTGTGTCTGTCTGTCTGTGTTTGCTTGCATGTGTCTATGTTTGGGTGTCTGTGTCTGCTTGCATGTGTCTATGTTTGAGTGTGTCTGTGTGTCTCTCTGTGTCTGTGTCTGCTTGCATGTGTCTATGTTTGAGTGTGTCTGTGTGTCTCTCTGTGTCTGTGTCTGCTTGCATGTGTCTCTGTCTCTTTACCCTCAATCATTATCATACATTAAAACGACATCTATACAATTTGAAAAAGTATATAATGTACATGACTTGATTTGGAAACTCAGGTTTCATTTGTTTAATGCGCATTGAAACCTACATCCGTGTTGTGTAGAGCATGATTTAGCTCCAGCTCCCTGTGAGAGACAGCATGTCCGGATGGCAATGTGCCCACACAGTTCTCAGTCTATGATCAGACATGTTTTTGCTGGAGATTACCAGGTCACTACAACATCCTGTTGTTTATCTGACATATCATAATGGTACAGTCTGGGCCACTGAGGGAAATGTTATATGCAAATGACAATTGAATCAGGATATTTCCCTCACCCACATTGTGTGACTGGGTTTTTTACTAGTTAAAGTGGAAAAGCAGTCAATTCAAAGGTGAACTGTTCCGTGACAAAACATTCAATAAACAGGGTAAAGGTTTAATTACTTTTATGTTACAGGCGTCTGATGATAGACTGAGTGACATGGGTTTGAACAGTATACCACAGCATGTCATCTTATACCAGGGTATGTAATGCTATACCACAGCATGTCATGTCATGTTATACCACTGCATGTCATGTCATGTTATACCACAGCATGTCATGTTATACCACAGCATGTCATGTCGTGTTATACCACAGCATGTCATGTCGTGTCATACCACACCATGTCATGTCGTGTCATACAACAGCATGTCATGTCATACCACAGCATGTCATGTCGTGTC